AATTGCGGGACTCCTCAGCAGTGCGCATCCACGAACCCGCCTCCCGCGAGATCCGAACCCAGGACCTACTGGATTCGCGCGCGAGCACTTAACCATTAGACCACTGAGCCGGCATCCAACGGTGTTAATGTCTAACTTCAACCAATCCACGAAGTTGCGCAACCGTACACCATTGTCTTCAGTGAGTTCCTATCTCACAACAGACCTGGTTGAACTCCACTGATCATTGCTTCTCACTAGAACTCCAGGAGTGTCTCCTGAAGTCAGTCACTAGTGAGCATGTGATTATTATTATTATCAGAATGGGTTTTTGTGGAGATTTTTGGAAATTTCACAAGTTGAAATCATGAGCCAATTGGGTTCGAATCCCGCGGGCGGCGGGTTCGTGGATGCGCACTGCTGAGGAGTCCCGCAATTGGAAGAAACGGCCGTCCAGTGCTTCCAGGTTTTCCATGGTGGTCTAGCTTCAATTGGCTCATGATTTCAACTTGTGTAAGTAAATAAATTTAAAACGGTTAGTCCCTTTGATAAACTTCGATAATGATGTTAGAAGACGACGATTATCAGAACTACGTGATATAATAGCCCAATACATTTCGAACAATCTGGTCACACATATATAAGTAAATAAATTAGCGAATAACGAGTTGACAGTTTCTGTTAATATTAATTACAACTCGACTAAAGACAACACCGACTGTTTCACAATTTACTGTTAAGATTGGGCTTAGAAACGCCCACGAGTATAAACACATCACCAACACTCTAATAGTAGGCTAAAAATATACACACACGAGATCGATTAGTGAATAATAGATCTATCTTTATTTAATATATTTTAATATTTATTTGTATACTACTGTTACATTTAAAAGTAGGTAGCAAACATATTCCGATTTCGTCTTGTTAATTTTAGCAAATAGAATGTATTTCGAGGAATTTGTACTAATTTGGATTTTTCATCTCTTTCTAAATAATTATCAACTCCATTGGAATCGTGTATTATGGAATATTGTTTCAAATATACCATAGAAATATTAAACTTGATGGATTATTATATTAGAACAACACATATAAGCGAACAATTGTTTTCAATTAGATTGTCATCAGGCTTTACTCTAATATACATGAATATTTATACGAAAATTTTAAACCAATCAAGGCAATATGGGTCATTAATCACAATGAAATAGAATAAGTCTCTACACATAATAGGTAAAAGTACAAGTTGATAGTACGAAGACAGGTGAACAGATAGTGGGAAGAATAATAAACTACAATAACAAAACTCTTATCAATAGTTAAACGTTGGAAATAGAAGGTCAAATAAACATGGGTAAATAGACTAGGAATAGTAATCACAAAACCTTAAAAATCATTACGTAATAAGATGTGTGTAAATAATTAGATAGTGAAGAATACAAAGAGGCGGATAATGACAAACAAATAATGGATGTGGAAATAAGGTTAACAATAACACAGATAGAATAAAATAAATAATGATAATAATAAAATTTTAATAAGAAATAATTGTTAGTTAAGTTATAACCAACCATGGAAGGCATAGGGAGGTCACGTATTTCTTCTGTACACATAAATTGGGGTTATATGTACGAATTCCAATGGCTTCATCTATATGTAGGAGACGGGAACGGACTCCGTCGGGAAATGATGGAGGTATACGATAGATAACTCGAAATGATTTCGATTTATCTACAGCATGACCGCTATCAATGAGATGTGCCAATACAGAACTGCGAATAGATTTTACCTGGCCCTTTATGTACCAAGTTGGTAGATGTTCACTCATTCGTTGGTTAAGTTGCCTGGTAGTACGCCCTATATAGCTATCTCCACAGGAGCAGCTGAATTTGTAAATGCACATGGAAGAGGCAAACTCAGGTAACTTATCCTTCGTTTGAGTAGACATCTCTAGTCGACAAGAGAAGGTCAACGCAAGATTGGCTGCGTAGAATGTCCTGGTGATTACTTTGGTTGACCTATATTTCAGAGTGTCACTAGCCACATCCCCATTGAATTGCACTTTCATGTATAAAGGTTTTTTACGAACAGTCGAAATCTCCGACCTCTTTATTATATCATACATGTACTTCTTAATGAAAGCGCTGGGGTAGCCGATCTCGGTCACATATATATATGAGACAGCTCAATTCATAATACTTAACTGATATAACTCATTTTTAAGGTGTGTTTAGTTAAGCTTTAACTGAATCGTTTACTATTCATTTTGTGACCGAATTCAAAAATAAGATGCTGACTGAATAATGGTACTCACTGGGCGTTGAGCTATGTTATTCATTGGCTAAATCAGAATATACAAGCCATTTAATAAATGAATGTTAGCATGTTCACTAGAAAACATGAAAGTTCTATATTTATACTAATGTGTAATTGAAAAATTATACAAATTGAATGATCCCATAAAGTCCATAAAAATAGTTTTTCAATGTTTCTATATCAACTTTTCTTGAAGCCCCTCTAAGGCTACTGCCAATCCCAAGCCGGAATAAAGGAGGAGAGTTTGATATGGGGTTAGTGACCTTATCCCGTAAAAACTAACTCGATAAATAAATGCTAACCAGAAAAAAACTTAATCCAAACCAATGTTTCTTATTAATTATAATCATCAATTAAATGAAATAATAAATTCACTTCACTCCAACTGAAGAATTCCTTAAATTCTAACAGACATTATAGTATAAACCAGTTTTATATGTGCTTAATAAATGATTCATGTGAAATTCATTCTACTTATCATTTATGCATTCAGCAACATAAACATTATCAGTAGAATCATCAAGTGTTTTATCGACTTATCGTTCCATTCAAGTCACTTTGTTTAAAACAACAACGAAAAAACAAACAAACATATTTTATAAACACTTAAACAATGAACTGAATAACCACTTTATAAATACAAGAACATTACTGCATTGTAAACAACATTATTCTCTAGAGTTAATCACTAAAGAGCAAACAATTTTCTAATGTGTAAAGTTTATGCACAAAACTTACTAAACAATAAAACGATTCTCTTCAAACTACTTATATAAAGTAGGTAATTGGATTGAGTTATTTTTAGTAACTATCGATTTGTTTTGTAATCTACATTGGTAACGACAAAAATAGTGGGTTATTTAGGCCACAGAATTATATTTGAGAATTATTGTAAAAATATCTTACCACAAGAATCGAAATTTAATTGAATAAATAAACGCGAAATTTATATAAGGACAGTTATTAGCTGGTAAACAAATACATATACAGTACTGTAGATAGATTTAGTGTTATTTAATTTATCCCTATTAGATTCATGATGGTGTAATACTAATGATTAAATAGCGGGGACAAAATGATGTTGATGATGATGATTTCATTTTTGATTGTTTCACACAAAAAGTATACTGCTTGTGTTAGTCCCTCAGAGCAATTATCAACTTTACCATATGAGCACTTCATGCTTACTCACAACACACATTTCATTATATTTGTGATTATGTAGTTAAATATACTTCACCATGCAAATTATAGATATTACAGATCACCTACTGCTGATATTTCGATATATAGGACTTGGTACTATATTATTTGTCCCTATTGATTTAGATAACTAGTGTGGCACATAAAACAATATCATTTCATTCAGTTGGTTCTGAACACAAAGACAAGAAAGTATAAGGTTCAGCAACTGCTGTCTCATGAAAATCATTTTTCAGTTTACAATAAAAATAAAACCACTGAAAATTTATTTCGATATTGTTATATTCTATAAAACTAGATACAAACATTTGGTCACTCAGTTTATCATGTACATCATAGAAGCCAGAACATATATGTATCGACCCACGTTTCTACACCATCTCAGCACTGCAGATGAAATCGTCTTAACAAAACTCAGAGCAGTACAAGCAATAACAGTAACATTGGAACTAGGAAGATTAGGCATAGACAGTATGACCATAGAAGAAAAGACCGATTAGCGAAATCAACAAAGATAGGTTTGAAAAGTAGGGGCTGAGGAGAGGTAATAAGTGAATGCATCCATACCATCCAAACAGATTCTGAGTCATACCACACCACACCACCCATTGGTTACTATAACCACAGCCACGTAATCAGGATCTACCAAGATGGCACAATCCAACAGTCATCGACTGATGTCATGCTTTATCTGGCCAGCCCTAGATTTCTCCCAATATACTCCCACACCAGACGACATCGTCCGTTGAAGTTGGCAGGGTTTGGGTATACGTAATACATGTCCCAACCACCTTAGTCGATGAATATTAACATTAAATGAAAGTATAATAGTCAGTTCATTTCTGTATTGATTGTTTGAATCTTCCCTCTGATGTTTAGGACTGCCATTAATCAGTCTCTTATTGGCATATGTGTATCCTGTGCGAGATGCCTCGATATTGCCTTCAGTAACAACCACCATAAGCACTGATGGATAGTGGCTATCAGTGGAATCCAAGATGAGCGTTTCGTCCTATTTGGGACTCGTCAGATGCATCCAAAGTTTGTTGTTCACTCCAGGAGAGTTATTTATCAATTCAATTTACTTGAATGACAGTAAAATAGTATTTCTATTTTCAACTGTTAGTTAATCTAGATAGAATCATGAAAAACAGTGGCGACAACCAACGTTGAACTAACTGTTTATTCATCTAGTTAATTTTAAAACAGCCAACCTTGTTGATAGGCTGAAATTATAAGGTCAAACAAAGCGAAATAATAATAATATCGCAAGCTGATTGGTAGATAGACTGACTGATATGTGTATATAAGATACACATATTTGTATGATTGCTTTCACAAGGTTCATATCACATTTAGAAATTCCTCATCATGAAACAGGTTTAAATATTGCCATCGATACACCTAACATGTGTTGTAATACTTTTAAAATGCCCCACTCAATACTCCTTGTCCAATATATACTTCTATGTAGCATCACTTTAGTGTATACTATTCCGATGCTTACATTGGTTAATAACAATCACACTGGTATAAAATATCCAATAATTTTAATTCCTGGTTTGGGTGGTAGTCAAGCTTATTGCAAACCTAAGGATGTGGGCAGTTCTTTTGCTCCATTTAATCTCTGGATCAACTTTTTTCACATGTTATTACCTAACAAAGTATTCGATTACTTCAGGTAAACAGCAAATTCATATTTATCAATCTGTTTCAAGATTACAACATGATCCATACACCTATGAGTCACATGATTCAAATGAATGTGATGTAACATTTCCCGGATGGGGTGATACATGGTCTGTGGAATATCTATCACAACATATATCTTTTGAGTACTTCGGTTCACTTGTGTCAGAACTGATGAAAGACAAATTTTACGTGAGAAACTTCACAATGCGTGGAGCTCCATATGACTTTAGAAAATCACCAGGTAAGTGAGTACATGTAAGGGTGTTATTTTTTAATTTTAGCAAAAGATTATGAAATATGATATTGAATAGATCTTTAGTGTTTGTCGAGCAGTAACATGAAAAAACATTAATTTGAAAATATAATTAACCGAAATTCCTCTGACAGCAAAGATTGAAAGTTTTCATCGGTCGTGAGCTTTCAGTAATAATTACACACATAAGAAATGTTATAAAGCATGATCAAATAACTTTCTAGATACGTAACAAATTAGATTACAACGACAATTTTATTATTTCATAAAAAATCTGTACTCTGACGGTGACTTTACGATACATATTTTTTATATTGCTTTGTTAAGTAGAATATTCCATACAGATAAACCGAATTAATAACTAGCGTAGATGAATAATGTTGAGTGTGGAAATTAATCGAACAGTGAAATATACATCAACTATTAAAACACTTCATTATTTGATGCTTTAGTGAGAGATCTTTCATAATAAAATAATCTTCGCGGATGCGCACTTCTGAAGAGTCCCACAATAGGACGAAACGGTCGTCTAGTACTTCCAGGTTTTCCATGGTGGTCTAGCTTTAACTGACTCATGATCTCAACAATTGAGAATAATCTTCCATTTGAATTACACATTTTGTATACAATTTTGTGGAAGAAGTATGTTTTAAATGTACATTTCAAGAGGACTGCTTCCGGATAAAAAAAACTCACATCACCTGCCAAGTCGAGAATCCCATATGTGAGTTATTTTCAAGATTTTATTCGTCTCATTAGTTTAAAATTTAGTCATGGGACATTGATCTACTCAGAACTAATTTTTTGCTCCTGTGACACCCTACCAGATTAAACCCTTAAATTTTAGAATATAAACTGAGCGCGATAAAACCGATAGGTCGCATTATCTATGCGGTATCTTCACTTAGAATAATATGTCGATTGATTTATCTCGAACCCTGACAATTAATTGACTTCGTTTCAAGACAATTCAATATGGTGCTCAAAATTTACATGCGATTTTATGGAAATTTTGTATCAGTAGAAAGTCATTTTTGTTACTAAGATCTAATTTGTGTAAAAAGGATGAACACCTGACCGATGCTCTTTATTTTCGATTGGTTTTCCAAATCATATTAGTAATCAATGTGGTAAGTGTACTAACTAATGATTCCTTTATACCAAATTGAGCGTTTATTATGAATCCTAAATTTAATACGTCTAGTTGTGTTCATCCAGTTTAGCCTGCTTTAAATTGCACTATTTCTAGAATTTCTAGTCAGCAAATAAATATGAATACTTCTAATTATCACATTAACATTCAAATTTGATGTTTATTAATATTTAAATAATTTGCTTTCTGAGCATCAATCCAATTGTTAGTTTCTTCGTATTTGTGTTATCTCTCTCTTCCAGATGATAACAAACAATTTGTAATGAAATTCAAACATTTAGTAGAAGAAACTTATACAAATGGATTGGATCGACCAGTTGTTCTATTAGGCCACAGTTTGGGTAGTCTGTACACATTATACTTTCTCAAAAATCAAACTAAACATTGGAAACAAAAGTATATTAAATCATTCCTATCTGTATCAGCACCACTTGGTGGAACAGTTAATGCACTTATGTCCGTAACTAGTGGTAAATTCAAATCTGTTTAAAACATTTGGTTCACATGTATTCTAATTTAGTGTTTATATATATATATATATATATATATATATATATATATATATATATATATATATATATATATATATATATATATATATATATATATATATATATATATATATATATATATATATATATATATGAGGGTGCATTTCGTTTATTAAAATCATTCGACCTTTCGAAAGGTTTCCTGACAGACTTAAACTTATGCTGACATTGAAGAACAATTCGTACCGATAACAAATTCTTGTGAACTTTTATTGGTACCTTTATTGTTCACAAATTTAAATAGTTTACGTATCTAGTTCACTTAATTTCTTTGCTTCCATATATTCAAGCACAAATATTTCCTGTTTTAATTGAAGGTGAGAATTTAGGCGTATTTATTCAAAATCCATCACTATATCGAGATGTGATCCGTACAATGACATCAGTAATTGCTGTACTACCAAATCCTAAACTATGGTCTAAAGATGAGATTTTAATTGTTACACCGTTTAAAAATTACACAGTTCACGATTATCCAGAATACTTCAGTGATTCCAATTATCTTACAGGTACTTATATACAAACAAACATGCCTGTTATATTATGATGTTATAAATTTGTTGTTTATTGCCTTATTGCTTCTGGTTTAAGAATGAATATTAAGAGACAGTCCGAGTAGTTTTAACGCTTCCAGTTTTATGTATATGTTAGCAGATACGAGTTAATGAACCGGTCAAAATTCGGATCTAATACAGAATTCTTTTAATAATCATTTAACAATAGTAACTGACATAATTACTTTACCATAACAGATCTCCATCTTTTAATAAATGATCAGTGTTTCTGTGTACCAGTTTTCTCTGTATTCCTTTACGGCTGTGAAACACTGGGTCTACAAATACCCGGAAGAACTTTGTAGGCTGCAGGTATAAGTTTCTTCAAAGTATCGTCTGAGTTAAATGAAACCATTAAGTGAGTATTGTTGAGGTTAGACATAGAGGTAGTGACGCTTCTAAATTCTGTGTGAGAACAAGATGCAACCCATTAACATAATATTCTCGTTCTTAACACTCCGATTGCGTATCATTTTCAAAGTTATGTTAGCTTCATCTGGTTCCATGATCTAAATGTTTTCACCATTGCGTTCTTTTATGTTTAAAATCAAGGAATATGTACGTAGTCGGGAATACATATACAGTTGACAAAAAAATCATGGAGTTCGCGATACCATAAAGATGCTTAATACATTGGAAATTCAAATTTACTAGGTTGTGGATCATTACTGACTGAGACGATTTGAGTATTGCCTATTCACACCTAGACAATCCCAACCCCTAACCATATTGCTGAAAAGCATAGAGGTTTAGAAGAATATTATGGGTGGACAGTTCAATGGATAAACCTTGCGATTATTTGTCTAAATCATGTTCGAAGTTATGATCCTATGGTGGCAGATGTTGCATGATATTGATCGCAATAACACAGTAGTAATCATTGTGTACTTCTATAAATTATGAGTTCGATGTCATTCCATATTATTCAATCTCCCATCTGGTGTATTTCTTTTTTGAAATATTTTCCTCAGTAAGTTTAGTATGTCATAAAATTTGACAATAGAAATCATGCTCTCCGTTTCATTATATCACTATCTCCCCATTGTGCTTATCTCAGAGGTGTACCATTTATAATGTATGATTAATATTCGGGTTGCACATTGATTTGATCACAGAATATTACTTACAATAATTCGAAAAGAGAAAACATCGTTTAACAGTAATAAGTGCAAATTCATTTTAGTCTAAATTGCAAACATAACTAAGTACTAGGATGATTACACCAAATAACTGAATGCTAAATAATATTTAGCTCCAAAAATATTTCCCTGTTAACAAACTGTTTGTCTATAGAAGTCTAAAACAGAATTGCACTGTTTGCTAAAGTATCTGTTTAATTCTATACAGCTGAGTTGTATTTCATTTCATTATTTTTCAAAAGCTTTCTATCCATAAACCATACGACTAATTTGTAGTAAAGTCGGGATACTACTAAATACGAACAAATAACCATAAATTTGCATGTTAGGTATAATAGCATTATCCCAGTATATTATTATACAAACTAAAGCAAAAATTGGTATAGAGCAGTAATTATTTGGTACCAATTAAGCAAACAAGCGCTACATCACTAAGTCACTGAGTAAGGATCCGACTGTAACTGTTTACAGCTACTGTGAAGTATGCTACTTATGTCGGTATAAGTAGTTAGTAAAACCAGTCAAAAGTGGAATGCCTGACAGCGGAAGGTTGAGAAGATCGAATGGAAGAGAACGGGGACAGAAAGTAATTGTTGTGGCATTGAAAGAATGATGAATTTCGAGAGAATTGATGGAAGATGTGCTAATGAGTCAGTTATCCATAGTATCGAATGATGATAAAGTTGCGAAGTGACTAGAGAAGTAATTATAAACTTGAGTTTGAAAAAAAGGTCAATTACAATGTGCCCATTTAGAGCCATACAAACTAAGATCAAGTTTAAAACCATGAAATTTATGTACTTGTTGAGTTGACCTTAAAATCTGCTTTTAGAAAAGTTCCCTACGGTGACTTGGTTTTCATTATATAATGTGATTTAAACTTCGTGATCATGTAAGAAATATATCTATCCTTACTTGATTTTTACTTTAATATTACTGATGAATAAAACAGCTCTAAACATATATTTCAACTAATAAATTCAAAATCATTATTAAACTGAATTTTATCCGAAATCAGTTAAAATCACTGTTTTAAATTATTGCTAAACACTGAAATTGAACTTCATTAAAAATAATCTACTTAATCCTGTACATTCTAGGTTATAAACTATTCACACGTTACCTATCTGCATTCGACCCACTCGAAGCTCCCGAACATGTACCTGAAGTCTACTGTATCTATGGTTCTGGACTATTATCAGTGGAACAAGTCATTTACAAATCACCTAGTCTCTTCATTTCAGCATTTCCAAATCAATCACCCAGAATTATATATGGGGATGGCGATGGTACAGTGAATCTACGCAGTTTAAAAGTTTGTACAAAATGGCCCACAGCTAAAGTAGTTGAATTCATTACTTCTGAACATAGACCAATTTTGAGTGAAAGGCGATTTATTGATTTTGTGAAACAACATATGAATACCTAACCTTAATAGTATTATAACTATCATTATTATTTCTACTGTTTATACTAATATGTTTATTATTAACAGTAAATCCTATATGACCAACTATTTTCATTGTTTTATTCAAACATATTGATTTTCATATCTTGAACAAGCACAAACAACAGTTGTGAGTTGGTGGAGAAGATTTGTAGCTCTCTGAGCTCAGCTCAGAGAACAAAACTCCATCAAAAACAGTTGTGAGTACATAGTGAAGTGGAAAATAATCAAAGTGTTTCTTATTTTCGTTTTTTTTCTCACAACTAACAACAACAATACTGTTATTACTGAATTGGAGGAAAACTATTTAAAAGTGTATAACATAAATAAACTGTACGTGTGAAACATTAACGACTGTCCACTAATAACTTTAAACATAAATAGACATACGAAATTCACTTAATAACGTAATCATACCAATCAAGTGTAATTAATGTCTGTCAATTAAAAAAGGATAATGTAGCTACAATTATCCAAGTTTTATTGTAACTAAAAAACGACTGGTCAATTCACAATAATCCAAGACAATCATTGGCTAAACATGTTTAGTGATATGATTTTAGACAGTTGAGATCATGAGTCAATTGAAGCTAGACTATCACGGAAAACCTAGAAGCACTGGACGGCCGTTTCAACCTATTGTGGGACTCCTCAGCAGTGCGCATCCACGACCCCGCCTCGCGGGATTCGAACCCACAACCTATCAGTCTCGCACCAGGCGCTTAACCAACTAAACCACTGAGCCGGCATCCAACGGTGTTAATGTCTAACTTCAACTAATCCATGAAATTGAGCGACTTGATGTATTCACACATACTAACTCTATACAGTTCTTGATGATATTCAGATTTGTTTGCACATGTTGTACTGCGTTTATAGTAATAATCCACAATGACAAAAGGATAGAAGTGCTATCGTTACTTGTTTCGTTTTTAATCATCGAAAATACTTGGAATATGAATAACTATCACACTTATCTTAATAATTAGCGATGTTGGTCACGATGATACAAGTCTATTAATTCTATCTTTCCTTAGATCTGGAGTTTTGGAATTTATCCCAAACTTTTCTATTACGCGAATTTATTCAGTCTTCTTGAAACATATGGTTTATGTCCAATCTTTACTACTACCACTGAAGCTGTTATCGTTTCTACCATAGCATTTGTCTTGATAATATTATTTGGCTGTGCTGATATGGCGTAGTAGGTTAGTCAATGCACATGTGAGTCATGTTCTACGTTTCATGTGACGGACTATCAATTTTCATTCAGTGTTTGTGTATCAATCATAAATATAGCTTTCAACTAAAGTCATATATTTGTAAATTTTAAATTTGATTCTGATTTGAAACATAAAGGTGGGATTCCTATTATTATTCGTACTTTAAATACAACAATAATCATGCTGCTTACGTAACGCTAACTTATATTTTGCTACTAGTTAGAAAGATGATAGTAAGAAAAGACATAATTCAACGGCGAATACACCAAGGGAAAGAAAATTTTCTTTGAAAACTGACATTCAATATTATACATAACTAATCCAAACTCATTTTTTAATAATATAACTTAACTGAATCATAATAATAAGTAGATTTAACTTGATGGTCAAACTGTTAGCTACGATCAACACCATTATACCAAAACGTTTACTCAAACAGCAGTCAAAGTGATCTGAAATTCTGTTAGGAGTATGTGTGTGATTGTCACTTGCTGTTTGGCTACATCATAGAAGACTACTTCCTAAGGGACCTTAAAAAAGGATTGGTATTGATCTTAGTGATCTCGCAGTGTGGTCATAGTGATCAAAGAGGTAACTAATCGACTCCAGTAATACACAGACTTTATGGTAGAAGTTGTATGATATACTAACTAGGTATTTTTAACGTCTTACAGCCCGCGATGGAAATTTGTGGATTAAAAAAGAGGTGTTACTTTCAGAGCATCGTGATATGAGAACCCGACAACTATGTCAAAGTAGCAGGTACGACCGCGACTCATAAAGCAATCAACATAAAATCACCTGAAAAGAAATGGTACATTACAGTTTTAAGAGAAAAAACTAGAAGGTAAGGAAATGAATCTTAAGTATGTTTAACTTCACAAGGATTATTCAATTCAATTGTAAAGTTAATAGAAATTACGACTCCATGTAATTTGATTAGAAAAATAAAATATATTCACATATATTGACAAAAATAAATCAACTACTAACAATCCATCATTAGTGATAATAATAATAATAATAAATATAAATATAACGAATACAAGCGGAATAATATGCATTACAATACTACAACTTCACTCAAAAATGACATAATTAAATGTAAACTCCAGAAAAGAGCACCGTTTTCTCTCGAGTAAAAATGACAAAATTCTATCAATAAAGGGACTGTACAATTATTTATATATATAGGAAATCGGCTCATCATGAAAGGAAGATAGAGAAGAGTTAATCAAAAAATTAACATACAGCGATATTCTCCGTTATAAGCATAAATATACAGCCACCGGATGATACATCATTAATAAGTACAAATAATAAATGGAGTATTGATTAATGGAAATCCATAATGTGTTGCATAACATCACTTCGTAATTTACTGTGAAATTCACACATTGGACAAATAACATCCTCATCCTCACCATTACCGACGTTATCATGTTCAATAGTATTCAGTCCTTTGTTCAGCTCATCTCGTTTATCATCAGTGTTGTTGTCGTCGTCGTTATTATCGTCTATGATGGTGATTTGATCAGTTATTTGATTATTTAAACTGCTAGTTGCCATGGTAACAGCCGATGTCTCAGTATTATTTTTTATAGCTGTGGTACTGAGTAACTTTCCAAATTTAAGCTGTTCACCGGTAATCCATTTAACAAATCTATTTAAACTCAATCTAGATTCATTAGAATGCTTTGACATTGATAATGTTGATGAATTGATAACGTCACAAACACTACCACCACTGGAACTATCATCATGAACATCAATGAATTTCGCTGAAGATGAAGATGGTGAACTTGTAGTAATGCTCAATCGAATAGGTTGATTGCTTAACGTAGAAGTAATAATTGTAGTAGTAGTCGTTACTGATGTCGATGTTGTCGTGAGAAAGTCAGAAGTGTTAGATATAACAAGTTGTTTTGTATTATTATTATTATTATTATTATTATTATTATTATTTGAATTCTCTTTCAGCATTTCATTAGCATGAGCTGTTTTCTTATGTGTATTGAGATCGTCAACAGTTAAACAAAATACTGGACATAAATCGCACCCATGAAACTATATAAAATAAAACATTTCAATAAAGATAAATAAACAATTAGAATATATGGAGGTAGATGTATTACGAGAATGTTTTGCATAGATTCATACAATCAAACTACTTTTATTCTATTTTGTAACTATTATTTGTAATATTAATTGTAAATAACAACGACATTCAGAAAATTGGTGAACAGAAAATATATGATCACCTAGTTATAACTATTCTGTCTGGAATTAAACAAAATACATCATCTAACACAACAATTTCTCATAAATTATTACAGAGATGAAATCACTATAAAAGGTAAACAAATGTATTGAATAAAATCTAGTCTAAAAGATTATGGAAAAAACCACATTATTAAATACAAACAATGTTCAAATGTTTACATATTCACATATCATGGTGAAATACTGTACTCAGATATATTTATCTATTCAAAGACTGAGAATTTCAAATTATAATGGTTCATTTTACATGTAAAATTATGGTATAGGAACGAGCTAATCAAAACCGAAAAACGACTTTTAAGTCCTATAAGCAGAAATGATAATGGCTTGCAGGCAGTGGGTCTCTCTTTGTGGGTCATTTCTGCTTATAATGCTAGTGACTGAAGGCAATATCGAAGTGATCTGTACAGGATGCACATATGCCAATAACAGACTGATCAATTGCAGTTTTAAACATCAATGGGAGAATCCAGACAACCAACACAGAAATGAGTAAACTTTCGAGTCTTCATATAAAGATTTAAGAACAAATAACTTCTATCTTATATCACATAAGGGGAGCGGTAGTTTTACCTTTGTGTAATTGTTCCCAAAACATTCAAAGCTAGAACTAAAAGCTACTTTAGTCATCATTAGGAAAAATTATAGCTTTAAAAGTTAAAAATATTTAAGTCTTTTTATTTAGATGGTAAATCACACGTAAATTAACCCAAACCCTTAATGCTAATCGTAAACACGAACCAGGAACAATGTAGGAACTCCTAAAAACCATTTTGAACCTTAAAAGGGTTTTTAAAAGGAAGATGTTTTAAGGCAATATAGAAAAATCTACCACTCTTCTTCGATTTACAGGCATATAGATTCGTAGTAAACTTTAATAAATTTTTTAATTAAATAAAATCTTTAATATTTTTTCCAATAACCATTGATTTACAAGAACTTTTCAGAATGTCTATCAACGAGGTGAAATTTATCCCAGTTATTTCAATAATCGCTAAAGCTCTTCCTTATGCTAAAAAGCGCATCATTTTAGACAGAAACTCGATAACAACAAAGTGATTCTACAGGATTTTCTAAATTCTTGTACTGAAACGGCAACAACAAAATAGGATGACATTTATCTAGTCTCTCAAAACCTTCAATTCAAACTAATCTTTAACATTAAAGTGGGTTTTATGAAAAGAATACAGCTTAAAGAAAAAAGGGATCTAGGATCGATAGAAACTATGATAACTTAGGGTACCACTCAGGTAAAATCATTAAAATGTAGAGATAAAATCAATTATTCGAACCCAAAATTGAACCAGTTTAAAATATGTAATACTTAACTCTTTATCAGATGAATTTACAGCCGAATTTTCGCAGCGATTATAGGTTTATTGATGACGAATGAATACCACATTGAAGTGTATAACTAGTGCTCGATTGTATGGGGTGGATAGATAACTTAAAAGTAGCAGAAATGGTTCGAAATAGTAGCAATCGGCAGGTGACAGCATAATTAATTTTAAGTTATGTAAACAGTAGGAAGTAACAACACGCCTTAAAAACTAACCTGGGATAAGTGACCAATAGCACAGCGTTGGCTACCCTGTTTTAAAGGACTGGCAATAATTTTTGCTGCAGCAACTGTACTTAAGGATGATGACGGTGATAATGTCGTTGGTGTTGTTGTTATTGAAGTAGAAGTATTAGTTGCGCCAATTGATTGCGGTTTAACAATTCGATAAAATTTATTTTTTGCAGAAATGTGATTTAGTTCCGACTCCTTGTTATGACTACTGCAATAGTGTTTCCATAATGAAATTGCTCGTTCACATGCATATAGACATAGAGGACACCAGTACTGATGACTAGCCTAAAATACCAATTTATAAAATGCATTTCTATATCACAGCATTTATCATATAGTTATACTAAAATACATTGAAATCTCATTTTGAAAAGGTATAATCATGAATATTTAGAACGATAGGATTTCCTATTCGTGACACGAGGTTCCAACTGTTGGCATCCAGAATGACAATATTTCCAAGCGGGAGTTTGAATTCAATTTTCTGGGTACTAATTTCATCTGAGTAGTGTTAACACTACTAAGCATATGCCTTTTTATCCAATTTAGAAAAAGACCCGGAGAATCAGTGACTGACATGGTATAATATTGTAAGGTTTCTATCAATTACGCAGGAAATGTCAATTATCATTAACTAAGATTGAGAACTTTTTTCAGTTGATCACAAATTTAATAATCTTGACCAAACTATTGGATAAACACAGGCATGTATACGAAATATATGAATGGTCGGGAAATATTTCTAACCTATTTGTTTTCAGGTATTAATTTATTCAAACACGTATGATGTGTGACCATATGAATTTAAGTGAGATTAAACCAGTATCCTGTTCTCAGTCACTTGTATGTGTACATATGCATTAAAATTTGAACTGACTTATTCACCGGGTTTTTGGGTATGAGCCACACTCTAAATATGAGGGCTAATTATACTATCCAGTTACTCAAACACAAGTAGGTCGAAACGGGTCTGAACCTGGGATTTAGTGAGCTAAAATCAAACATCTCAACCACTGAGTGACCGCTCTATTGGAAAGATAAGGTGAGTCTATTTTAGCGCCAGATAATTTGAATGCACTACAAAGATCTAGCAACTCAGTAGAATGATCAGGCACAGCCGAGAATACAATCAGAACAAATGTGTAAACAATGGCTATGCAACGATGGACAATAGCAAATCAAATCCCGGGTCAATAGTACAAACTGTAAAGAAATTATAATACCTCACTTCTTTTTCAAGTATGTACTGCTAGTGTTGTTGACTAGATGGCAACGAAGACATAACAACGAAATCATACAACTCACAGAACACATCTCTGTGGAATGAATAGTTTCAGAAGCCTCTCTTCCCAGTTATTTTTAAAACTTCTGAAGATCAAAAGCGAATGAATTAATTTATACTCTCAACCTTTTAATAACCTAGCGTCTTTATTCATTAACAATTAATTTCATTACATGTTTTCGTATTCATAGCAAATGTTGGACGTATGGATTTTTCTTAATATTTCATTTCTGAAACCATATCCAAATTAGTGTTCCATAATAGTTTGTAATAGTCGTCAGTTCATTTGTTGATATTAAGTAGTAGTAATAATAATGTTAGTATAACAGCATTAAACTGATGAATATATCAACGCAACCGTCTGTAATCGAAATATATCGTTTCTGCCTAATTTTTTCAACTGTCCTGTCTTCAAACTACCGAAGATCGAGTGGGTTCGTGTGAGGGTGAAAAGACGATCTGCAATGACAATATATGAGTGGATAAAACAGAGAGTCCTCACCTCGCCCACTATCTTTTTTTGAGTTTCAGGAACTGTCATTGATTAACAAGAAACTAGATAAATTGAGTTCACACTAGCAACAATCACCAAAAAAAAAATTAAAACACAAAACATTGAAATTGTGTTACGATCAAAATTGGAATCTAGTTGAGTTGTAATTTAATTACATGAGAGCTATGGGGAACAGAGGATTAAATATGAACTATTTATTTATTTATTTGTACATATAAACGTTAGTAGAAGGGGGCGCCAAATACAAATAAACGAAAGTTGTGTAGTAAATATGACAGTAAAACGAAAGTTTTTTTAAATAAAATTCAGATTTATCTACTCTGTCACATAAACGTTCACATGTTAAAGTAAAAAAAAGAATAAAATGAGAAATGTAGAACCTTGTGATTTGTTATAGAATAGTAAAAGATAAAACGTAAGTAAGACGATATAAATACATAAAAAATAATTATTGAATGACAAAATGATAAGAATTTAACTGAAAGAGTAGATGTATAGTCAATAATATAATTGACTTTGAACTATATTTCATCCATGATGATTTCAAAGACATCGACGAATAAAATTAGACTTTGGTGGAGTTTTGTTCTCTGAGCTGGATGGTTTGGTTGTGAGGCTCTCATCGTTCCACTGAACGACATCATCAGCAAAAACTTTAAATAGGAATGAAGTTTTTGAATTTCCCCACATATGACTCCCAGCTTGTCCTGTAGACCTCGATCTTGATTGGTTATTGTTGACCCTTAACCTGTCATTGTTTATTTCTTTATTTTGATGGTATCTCCCATTGATTTGATTCTTGGTCCCATATTTGTCCATAGTTTTTTTTATTGTTTGATATTGATGTCGTTCAGAAGAACGATGAGAGCTCCACGACCAAACCATCCAGCTCAGAGAACGAAACTCCACCAAAGTCATCTAATTGAGTTACAAATCTTCACCATCTCAAAATTAGACTTTATCTTACACGAAAACAGACAAAAAAACACTGTGACTTTTATGAATGGTTGAAACCTGCTGATATGATTATCAATCTTTGTATGCCTCTAAGTTTATCAGTATCAGTCCAGAAGTGTACAAATAAAAGTCTAACAATGTATTTCTGTTTGACATACGTTTGAATATCTTGATCACAGCACAAATCCTCGAAGGTTTAGAAAACTTAGTTATGAGCACTTACTATCCATCAGATTTAATCTACCAGTTAATACAGTCAACACATAAGAAATAGACGATATTATAGAAGTGAACTAACTTGTGATTAATATATAGTGGAATGTATATCAGTCAGTCGTAGGTAATATAGAACTTAGTACATTGGTTTAAGTTATAACACCATATAAACAGTTAGATGATACTATCAAAACAAATAGTAGGGTGACTGAAATAGCAATAGTATCAGTAGTAGTAAAAAACGATTCGACATAGATATTATGGTCGTAGAAGAGAAGACTGATTTGTGAAATAAATAAGCACAAGATGAGTTTGAGACTCATCAACAAAGGGAAAACAAAGAAAAAATGCATTTGTGCCATAGTGTGTGATTATTAACAGACCCCAGCCAAATTGCTTTCATCTAACATCATGGCTCAGTCCAACAGTCAATGACTTGATGGATTGAAACCAAGTCTTGGTTTGGTATATCTTAGATTTCTTCCAACTTAGTACGCTGAAGCACTAAACATCGAACGTTGAGGTAGGCAGTGAGTGATCATAAAGAACAGACGTTTCAATCACATCAGTTGATATAATTAAGGATCTACAACACAAAAATTTACAAACCCAATAACTACAATGAATAAATAAAGAAAAACTAACTTGAGCCATATGTAAATCTAAATGATTAATGGTAATAAAATGTGCATTACAAACTGAACATTTCCAACATGGTATTTCTTCGGGCTTTATATATACAGCAATATTATCCGGTAATGAATATGATACGGATATTGTTGACATAGATAATGATGAATATAATGTAGAAAGATTAATTAATTTTGAACTCATTGTTAAATTATTAAAATTTATTTTATTATTCCTTGTAGAACCATATTTGCATATATTATTATTTATTTCATCTGGTACAGTGAAAAAGTGTACAGTTTGTAAATGAATTATAAATGAAACCATATCCGAGAACACACGACAACACTGTGGACAATTATACACATCTTTATTCAACCGATAGGCGAAGTGTTGCTAAAGTACCAAAAGAATATAATAATAATATCAGATAAATAATATGAATTATGTATACACATATCCATACAAAACTATAAGATTTTCTGTGAAAACAACCGAAATAAAAAGTGAAAGTTAGTAACTCCAAAAAACAAGTAAACACCTAACAAAACGGTGGTATTCAAATATTTACCAATCAAACAATCGTATTTATAATCCAACTTTGAAAACTGTATCCTGAACCCAAATGTAAAACAAGTCGTAGCTCAACTTTGCTTTACAATTGACCAGGTCAGTCAGTCAGTAACAACGTAGAACTTCGTACGTACGTACATCAGTTCGAGTTGACAAACCACATTAGCACAGAGATGCAGTTGTCGATTCAAATCCCGTAGTGGTAGAGGTAATAAGAGTATAAGCAGTAATCGGGAAGATTAGGGTTTGGAGATGTTATTTAAAGAGTATAATCCAGTGAAATAAATTTGGAAAGAGGAAAAAAGGGGCATGAAGAATTCAGAAGATTAGAATTTTGGAGAACACAGAGAGTGGATGCACCTGCGCCATTGCAAACGATTTTGAGCCATGTCATTCAGGGTCGCTAACCATCGGTTGCTATCATCTCGCGGTCCCCAACCAGGTAGTCTACACCTAACAACATGGCTCAGTTCACTTGTCAGTGACTTCATGGATTTGTGACATTTGTTGGTCTGTCCGCCCCTAGCTTTCTTCCAACCCACTCCTACACCAGAAAACATCGCACGTCCAGGCAGTCGGTCGTTGGGCATACGTAACACGTGTCCCAGCCATCTCAACTGATGAAATTCCACCACTTCATCAATCGATTTGCCATCCTTACCTAGTACCCTTTTCCTAACAACTGCATTACTTACTCGATGCTCCCAAGATGTACGAGCAATGTTTCGAAGACACCTATGATCGAATACTAGTAACCTATGAATTTCCTCTACTCTTACCGGCCATGTTTCACTGCCATAAAGTAGGACGAGACGAACTGCTGCGCAGTAAACACGTCCTTTGGTTGATAGACGGATATCTCGCCTACGCCATAAATGACGCAAGTTGGCAAAAGCTAGTCGAGCCTTCTGTATCCGTGCTGAGATGTCGTCGCACACCAGACCACGAGGGTTGATGAGACTTCGACACGTTCAACTACTTCACTCCCTATCATTAGTTCGGGTGTCGATGCAACCCAATCCTGAAGCAACATTTCGCATTTCGAGGGGGAGAATCGCATCCCGAACATGCTTGCATTGTTGCTTAGAGTGGTCAGAAGACTGCATTTTGTTAGCGTCTTCACCAAATAGAACTATGTCATCGGTAAATTCTAAGTCAACAAGTGAACCTCCCGGTAGAAGTTCAACTCCTGGAAATCTAGACGAGGAAAGTGTTATCTCTGAAAGTAAGTCGACGACAAAGTTGAACAAGAATGTGGAGAGTGGACAGCCCTGACGAACACCACTTGAGGTAATCAATTCTGATGACAGTTCGCCATAAGCTCTCACTCTACCAGTTGTGTTCGAGTAGAGAGCCTTTACAAGGTTAATGTACTTCTTTGGTACTCCTTTCAGTGACAAACACTGTCATAGAACCTTACGATCGACAGATTCGAATGCTGCTTTAAGGTCGAGAAATACTACGATTGTGGGGCGTCTGAACGTGTGTCTGTGTTCTAGAACCTGACGTAGTGTGAATATCTGATCTATACAACCACGTCCAGGTCGAAAACCAGACTGATTTTCTCTAGTCTGCTCTTCACGAGGTTTAGTTAGGCGTCGAAGTATTATTGAAGCTAATATTTTAGACACTATATTAGTCAAACTGATTCCTCTGTGATTGTCACAAGAGGACTTTTGTTCTTTCTTATAGACTGGCACAATCAGTGATTGAGACCAGTCAGATGGGATTACGTCCAGTTCCCAAATTCTACCTAAGACCTCGGTTAATCTCATTGCTAATACTGGACCACCATCCTTAAAAATCTCAGGAGTAAACCTGTCAGATTTCCAATAGCTTTTTCAACTCCATAAAGAGTTGGAGGACTTATATTAACTTGCCATCCAGGTTGACTGGAGATCGTGGGAAACCGAAGTGTGGCTGAAGGCCAGTTGAACTGATCCCTAAAGTGTTCTGCCCATCGATCCAATCTCCTGGATTGAGAATGAATAATATGTCCATCTTTCTCTGAGATTGTTTCGCTAACGGTCGGGTTCCTAATTCCGGTTTCCTTAACGAGTCTGAACAATTGTCTGCGGTTACCTATTGCCGCTGCCTTTTCCATCTCTCTTGCTTTCGCTACCCACCACTGTTCGCGATCATTGAGTAGGTTTCTTTTCAGCTTGTGCTTAAGCTGACTCCGCTCTTCATTATGTTCAGAGCCAGGTAGAATGAGTTTCCGAGCATCTATCAGTGCGATAGATGCTGCTGAGATCCAGTGTTGCTCCCTAACCTTCTGGTTTACCTTACTAGCAGATATCTGCTGTTTCCACAGCTTTTCGGATGGGCATCACCTACATAGCTGCCTAACTTTTTCTAGGTGTTCCTCAAATATACTCTTAGCTTGACTATCATTAAGTAGGGCCCTAAGAGGTTTCCTTGCAGCGTCTTTCCTACGTCCAGTAAGACGCAGACAGATACGCGCTCGAACTAGAGCATGATCTGAATCTAAGCATGTGCTCCAGAATGAGCGACAGTCTTCTATCGAGCCCCTCCATCGGTGGCTGATAGCGATGTGATCTATTTGGGTCCAACGTTGGGACGAATTAGGGGGTCGCCATGTTAAAAGATGTTTTTCCTTATGCTTAAAGTTAGTATTTGCAAGGAACAGACGGTTATCTGAGCATAGCTGCAACAGACGGTTGCCATTATCTGTTCTTTGAGCCACGATGCTATAAGATCCACCTAGGTGTCTTTCTCTATCGCTTAGTTTACCTACTTGAACATTAAAGTCACAAGCCACTATTACTACATCCGAGCGCCTAGCTTTTCGGAGAAGGCCGGAGAGCTTTCTGTAAAACTCATCTTTTACATCATCCGAGCTGCAGTCAGTGGGAGAATAGGCAGAAACGACGAAAAGGCAACGACGAGTGTCCCTATCTTTTCGGATCCTTACTGTTTCGTTTAGTCGGACAGTGCACAAACGACTGTCTACTGGGATCCACTCTAAGAGAGCTAGTTCTGCCCTAGGACTCAATGCTATACCTACGCCGGCGAGGCCACGGGAAGCAGAATCAGGGCTTCCAGATACACGAAGCGTGAATCGAAATGGTTCTTTGTTTTGATATGGTAAGGTCAAATGAATGACGCTACTCGGACCCTGTATGCGCGTTTCAGAGGCGCAGCACACATGAATGGCACGAGATTCTAAAGTCCTAACTAAGGAAGCCGGTTGTCCTATTTGGCACAGTGTTCGGACGTTAAAAGCTCCTACGTGTCGTTTAGAGCGTGATTTCAGGAGACCAGGAATAACGTTCCACGTACTCGAATCGTTTGCTCTAGCGGTGCGAGGTGATAAAGAGACGTGAGGAGGGTTAGTCGTTGAGATAAGAGAGTTTTTAGGTGTGGGGAGGATTTGACTGTGACCAACTTGGTCTCGTGTGCTGTTACGGGTATGAGGGCTGATGTCACTTCCCGGCTGCCCACGCCGTGGAAAGGTAGGTACATAAATTCGTGTACTTGAATTCGAGAAACACTTTAAGTGTGGGGGCTAGTGATACTAGCAGGTTACCCAAGTCGAAGTAGGTGGGGAGGAGCTTCAATATACGATTAAGTAGCTGAAAGTCGGACGCTTTAACGATTAGACAACCGCTGAGCTTCATAGTTATGAATATACCCTTCAAGTGGGTAATTTCACATTAGTTTCCAATCATTTGTAAAAGCGGTACACCGAGATAGAAAAACATAATCTCGATCCATTTTTCAATTAATTACGTAACAAATGCTGGCGGTGTTTCCTCGATTGGCCAGACGGTAATTTTCAATTACGTAATATCAAGAATTCTTTTTTCTAATAAGAACTTGGTAGTACGGTCATCGACATACAACAACAATTCAGAGTTAATAATCCACGCCCCAATAAGAGATAGAGAACATGGAATATCAGAAGAGGTTTACATGTTGAACAGAAGTCAAAATCGAGAAGGGATACCCCTCTATATATAGTAACAAAGTATGACATAGGACACGAAAATTGCTAAACTAAAAGTTTTAACGGTCGATCAGAAAACAGTGGAGTTTGTGCGAAACTATGAATTCAAAAATATTATTGCGATTGTTGTTACAGAAAATAGATTTACATTTATTAACAAAAACTAGACAGCTTAAAGTCTCATTGGCATGGCCATGACCAGACATTGCTAATTTCATGACACTCTCTATGTTGGGTATTTGGATAAAACTTATGAAACAATCAAGACCAAAACGCAAAAGTAGTTCATTTTCGGTTGTTTTGAGCCATAAATGAGGCTTCAGGCTTTTTGCTAAGATTGACAGCAAGATAATCATTAAACATAGCTATCATAATCTTTATAAACACCATTGATATCTTGAAATATCTATAGAGAACTGTATAACAAAAAGGTGAGTAAATAGAAAAGGAAACACAATAAACGATTCAATGGAACTTTAACTTACAGGATGCTTAATAATTTCATGTAGATAATAAGTTGAATTACACAGTGCTTTTTCATCGCAAAATCCACAACTAACATGTTGGTGTCGGATTACGCCAGCCTTTGTCCAAAATAATTGACCACATAAACGACAAGGAATTGTTGGGATATGTCGTAAACCTTTAACCTGAGTATTCGTCGTCACAGAATATACATGAAAATGAATCATATGACAATTAATTTAACTAATAATTAAACAATGTGAATAAGTATTGACCAATTTAGTGATAGTCAGTAAGAAATAATAAAAAAATATACATAAAATGTGGCAAAGTAAATGGATCTCTATGATTTAGAATACCGAATCTGTCATTAATGAATTTAAACAAAAATAACCCACTAGTAATCACAACGTTTTGCTAAATACTAATCACAAACAATCATATTGGGGCAATATACCTGATGGTCATCTTCAAACTAACTAACTAACTATAAGTATCAACTCGAGGGATACACATATCATATTAAAAAATGATCATTCAGCTATATACTAATCAGGTCTTTTTGTAGTGCCAGTCATCCTGAAGGCATTGTTCAACAATTTTGTTCCAATAATAGTGTGGTGTATGCTAATTATGTTGACAGACATAAGTAGTATGTAATTGCTATTTAACAAAAAGTAAGAATGACTAATGATCTGTCCACTGTAATCACTTTGCTGAACACTTACCACAGATACCCCAATAAAGATAATGCTATTTTTGCGAACCAGTTTTTGTCTACTCAAAGAACCTCAAATCAATTTGAAGAATGCAGACGACACAATCTCATTAAGTGATAATAATACTAAGATTTTATAATACCCTAATATGAAAGAATATATAGAGTAAATTTTGTACTTGTAAACATAAAGATTTCTAGAGTCTGGATCTACTCTGATGTCTGTATATCAGCAAGATATATAGAAGCCTACTGGTGAACAATAATGATCCTAAGTATATATCATAAGTGCATATCATCAAATCAATTTTTACATCTGATGAAACTATCGAGTAAATAAAATTGATGCATCTGGCTTATCCATCTGTCGTCTATCCATTACATGTGAATGTCCTGTAACAGTTTAAAAAGCACAATTAGACCAACATTTATTCGTTGATTTTAATGCTAGTTTTGTTCATCAAAACACTGGAGAAAAATGTAGACCACAAGTTAATTTTAAAGTGATTCATGTACAATTCTGTGGACTGATATAAAGTGATAAATAGCAAGATATTACAAACCACCACTTAATTAATTAAAGACAACACATATTAGCTCTTAACTAACAAATATAAATTGACTCGAAGAATCTTGAGAAAACGACTAAGCTATCATTAGTATATTATATAATGGATTATTACATATCCTAAATATGATGTAACTAGCGAGTGCAGAGCATATAAGTCACATTAGCAGAACAAAAAACTATTTAGTAATACATGTATTTTATCATAACTTAAGTGACACTTGGTACAAAGGAACACCAAGGTATTTTTCACATAACCTAAGATGATAACTTCGAGAGAGAGAAAAATCACCATCCAAATCTAGTTATCCAACTTATTATCATCGAGTTACCAACTAAAACATTTATCTCAGTCGGAGCATCAATATACTGTACAACACAAAAATTAGTTGCATGTTTCAGTCTAGAATATGAACGATTACGAAATCGGTATAGTGTATTGATTAGAAAAACTGAAATGTGACTATCAGTGTAATGTAGAGTGAATGTTTCATTCTATCTGGAACTCTCCAACTGGATACGCCTTCATTTCAGAGTTGTACTGATTAAACTATGAGGTTGGCAGATTTCTTACCATATTTGATAAATAAGCAAATGTTACAATAATTTTTTACAGAGGTGAAATAACCAAAAACCTATCGTTTAGTCAGTTAGTCATAAGCAACTGTAGAACCTGGCCACCAAGTACATGTATAAATTCAAGTTGCTGCAGCATATCAAAACAAATTAGCACGATGATATAAAACTATCTAGAAAATTACTAAAATAGTAGAAGTAGTAACAGGTACTAGCAGCAGCAGAAAATATTGCATCCATGTTACTCGTTAATGTAAAAATCTTTTTTATTTCTTATAAAAAATTCACCTAATTTTATATAGACATTTATTGTATATATATATATATATATATATATATATATATATATATATATATATATATATATATATATATATATGAAGAATAAGAGGAACCTGTTGAAATATTTTATACTGTGCTTTGCAGCTTAATACTTACTCTATGACGAGACATAACGTGAAAACTTTGAACAATTGTTTCCGTTGGAATATTGGAAGGGCACAGTTCACACGGAACTTCTAACATTGGCAAAACACGAGGTAAACTACGCGGTTGACTTCCCAGGCATCGCCTAATTTGACCACTAGGTCCCACCTGAACACGAATAGTATTATCTCCATTGTTAGTAAGTGAAGATTGTTGTTGTAATAAATTATCAGATGCTAAACCAACAGAAACTGGTATGACAGGTTTTGGTTGAATAGGAAGTTTCGATTGGTTGGAAGAGAGGAAAGATAAAAGAGTTGGATTTGATGACGATACAATAGACCATGATGATGTTGTAGCCGGGATTTGTGTATTTCCATGCATAAAAAGGTTAGACTGTTTACTGATTGTAACACAAACAGGAGGCATTGGTTCAAAAGGCAAAGTATGTTTCACTGAAACAGATGGAGTTGTAGTAGGTTGACTAACTAAAACAGATGGTAATATGGAGCCTGTCACAGATTTCGATACCAAATCAGAAACGGAAGTAATGGGAGAGGAATTAGGTAAAATACACACTGATGATATATTAGTTAGATTTACACTAGACGATGATGAAGCAAAACATGGCTGAATCGGTAAGGACGATGAAACTAATACAGTTGATAGGGAAATAGGTATAGCACTTTTAGAATTGCATGTCCTTATTTGTGCGGGAGTTGAATTGTAAAAAGAAACAGTTCTATAAAAGAGATATACACAAAACCAACATTTTAATGGTTGAATGAAAGAACCAATATACCTTTTGCTATATTCCATCGAGTAAAGAAATTGTATTTCTGATTTTTTGCGACTTAAGATAAACCACTTCATCAGAGTAAATAATTGACCGAATCAAATTAACACGAGTTTAAATAGTAAAAAGGAAACAACGTAGAATATTTCTAGTACAATCAAAATCATAATGGGTCTGAATATGCCAATGTCAAATTATTCTTGGTCAAGGTGAATTTATATGACCTGTCACTGTATTAATTTGTGTATCAGAAGGTGGATATGAAAAATGTATGCATTTGTGACATGAAACAGCACGGTTGAAATTGAGTATATTGTGTATGTAGATTGTGTGGAAAGTAAATAAAGTCATATATGATTGTTTGGATAAACAATTCAGAAGAGCAACCAATATCATTAATTCAGAATACATGCTTAATGAAAAAATGATACAATAAGCATCCTATGATTTGATAATTTCCCTAAGAATATTATAAAAACATTAAAACAAAATTATCCTTATATAAATAATAATTCTAATGAAAGATCTTGGGTTGGTACTGTGGTTTTACTTTGCCATGTAGGTACGACAGAAGATTTACAACGGATCTTGGAAACTTACAAAACCAAAGCCTTCTATAAGACGACCAACACTAAGAAACGCTTTAGTCAGAATAAAAGATAAAATCCCATCTACTTCTATACACATAGTCTACACACACAACATGCTCAGTTTCAACCGTGCTGTTTCATGTCACAAATGCATACATTTTTCATATCCACCTTCTGATACACAAATTAATACAGTGACAGGTCATATAAATTCACCTTGACCAAGAATAATTTGACATTGGCATATTCAGACCCATTATGATTTTGATTGTACTAGAAATATTCTACGTTGTTTCCTTTTTACTATTTAAACTCGTGTTAATTTGATTCGGTCAATTATTTACTCTGATGAAGTGGTTTATCTTAAGTCGCAAAACATCAGAAATACAATTTCTTTACTCGATGGAATCTAAGAAAAAAATAAATTGGTTGTATGGAATGTTTAAAAAGATAAAATGAATGAATGCTATGTTAAGCGTCACCCGAAATAAGCCATTCTATGTTCTTTCGCCTTCTTTTCTCTTATTTTAGATGGTTATAATTACCGTGTAACGATAGTACGATCGCTATTAGTCACATTATTTACTCTAATAAATGATATTCCAGTTCACATACTGAGAAAATACTGGTTCTCAACTGCTGCTTCACATCCTTTCGACAAATGTCCTTTCAACAACAAAAAATAGAAACCACGCCTTTCAGAAAATTCATTCATGTATATCTGTCCTTTATATGTCACATTTCATTTTACAACAACCTGACCATGATCGTAAACAAGCACGACTTTTGTAATTATTTCCAAAATATTCCTTATTAAACAATCTTGGGTCACAAATCATTTCTACAAAACAATATAAGCATATGTATTAATTGTAAGCCACTTCTACTACTATAGTAGTAATGACGAATTTATGAGTTTAGAGATGAGAATGAGGCTACCAGCTCTAACATATCTTAACAACTATAAAGATTATATAAGCACTCTGAAGGTAAAACAAGAATGGAAACCTTCTTATTACAGAATTAATACTTTTACTAGAAACGACTGTACAAAGGTTTTCTCATAATATGTTAATAATGAAGTCTACAATACCAATTAAATTTAATGACGTAACATGAATATTAATTATCTTAATTTGTGTTCGTTAACAATCTTATCAAACGACTTACCTCTCTTAACTAGGACTTTATACGCGAGTTAAAAACTATTTAGAGATTTTATCAAACGTGAACAACAACTTAAAAACATTATTCGTAATATGAATATCGAGTGCTCATATTTCTTAGCTTCAGCAACTATGACACCCCTCATAGCTGTGTAATATTATGTAATTATGATGATCTCAAAGTCGTTTTAAACCGTTCACTTCAAAAATACAAACGCAACAGATATTTTCATATCTTCAATTCATAATCTAACATTAATTAGATTACAGGATCTTGTAACAGGAGAAACAAAGAGGAAATTATGGCGATAAATGATAATGACGAGTATGGATTTGAGTTACTAAATGTTGCTGACGAATGAAGCGAGAAACACTGAATAAAATCGAGAACTCCATGCAGATATTTACACGAATTCTCCCAAATTAGGGAATATCAATACCGCAAAAAAACTAGACGATAAGACTTAGCATAGAAGCTTGGAAATAATATTTATGCAATTTCATCTATGTTACTCATGAGTAGCCCTTATTTCTCTGTAGATTTTCTACTACTAACCAGTCATTTTCTCAATTTAATGTAACATAGCAACCAAACGCAAGTCCATGTACTTGACTTCGAGCTACAAACTTCGTGTTTTATTTTTTAGACTGATTTTTATACTTTCGCCAATGCTGATCAAACCATTTTTCCTATCCGTACAGAGCATCACAGTATTTATTTACCTCTTTGTCTTACCAACACAATAATGTATATTGGTCTATCCTCTGGTTTTATTTTAAATAAGAGAATACGGCAGCTTCTTATGGTTATTAAAAACCCAAAAACACAACTCCATATACGAATATGATTCAACAGTCCCCTTTAGACACCTTTACCAATATTATTGTTACATCGACTCGATTACAAAAATTAAACATATTAAACGAATGTTATCCCATTCGTGTCCACCTTCTATTCTATCGTACAACCCCTCTCCTCCAATATTTCCTCACAATCTCATTCCTTTATTTGTGTGGTAGAACTTACCCCTTTTAGTGCCCAGTTGTACCAAAATGTGCTAAACAAAATAAAATAAATTGCTATTTCTTAGTTATTATGACTATTTTTATTTACTTTAATGTAAATATATAATTAACACTGAAGTCAAACTTGGAGGCCTTTATTTGGATGAAAATATAGTACATGACATTTTTGAATAACAGGAAACTTCTGATTGATTGACGAGAGTAGTAACCAGTCAAATGTAAATATTTCAACTTTCTAGGAAGTCATTTGTGATCGAAACAGCTTAGTGGTAAAAACTAACTTCATAGCTGGGTGACGCGGATTTGAAGCGTACAGAGTTAATTCCTTCAAATTGCAGGTACAGATTATTGAGAAGTGCCAACTAGCACGAGGCCTGAATTCAGGGCTTCCTGGTGACTAGTTTCGGGAAAACTTCTATTTTAATGCGTAGGGGAATGAGTGAAGAAAAACTAAGGAAAATCATTAAATACTCTCGGTACGTACTAAGTTAAACAATTATTTAGCGAACTAAATTCGTATATTTTCCCACAAAAAAAACACGACAAAATTGTATATTTTCACAGTTCTAATCACGAACTGATTTAAGACCATCATTGAAAACTTGGAAGCACTGGACGACCGTCCCATCCTAGTAGCGGCTTCATAGCAGTGAGCATCCACAACTCAGAACCCGTAAATCTAACCCAGGACCTTCAGTCTCACGCGAACGCCTAACCTCACTGATGTAAGGTCGTATGTTTACATTGCCGAGGAGTCCCATACTAAAACGAAACGGTTAGCCAGTGCTTCCAGGTTTTTAATGGCGAACTGTAATCAGTTCGTGATTTAAACTGAGATTATGCAATTTATAAAATATCCCTATATTAACAGACGGTATCGTGTCTAAATTGTCACTAACCTATAATATATGAGAATCATCAAACTCTATTAAATCAAAGCATAAAAATGTAATAAACAGTTTTAAAATGTACTAAACAAAAAACTTACGAAGGAGTCGATGCTTCTGAGAATACAGATTTTAAGCTGTTATTGTGTTCTAAAATTCTCATTTTTGATTGAATCAGTGGTTTATCTTGATCTGGATCAACAAGTTCACCATAAATGGCTGATATTGCTGCACAACATCTTAAAGTATAAGACTGAACACTCCAACCACCAAATTGATTTATTCGAGCCATTAACATACGTTGAATTAATGCATAGAGAAAATGAGCAACATGAAAAGGTAAACCAAATCGAGCATACATAGTAGGATAAAGCATAAGACAGGCTAGTGCGTGAGCGTCACATCCTGACCATGGAGCACTATTATGTATTGACGAATTACTTTTACATGATACATGTATTGAAACATCAGAGTGCAAGTGATGAGAAGAATGTCTAATTAAATTAGTCTGTGTAGGGAAGCCACATATAGAACATAAGATAACTGTTGGTTTTTCTATACGACCAGGGGTTAATTGTGGATGCACGCTGCAATTATAATTATTTTTTAAATAAATAAGAGAAAACAATGATTTCAATACTTACAATTATTCTCTTTTATATTGTACCAAGTTCATTGCATTCATTCAACTACTATATTCTATGTACACTTTAAGCTATATATCAAATAATTGGATGGTAGATGCTTTCAGGTTTAATTGAGAAAACATTTAAAGTATTAATCTACCAACTTCTAGTTTCCATCTCCAGATAGCTTTAACTTCACTGACGTGAACTTGCTAATTGTTGAAGATTGCTTTCACCATTAAATGCAAGTGTATCATAAGTGTTTAGTGGGTTGTCGGTTCACTTTTCCTCGTGTTCTCCAGATTTCTCTACACACACAGCTCTGTATATTCCTCCAGCTCACAAACTACCTGCAGGTCAGACGTAAATCTACCAAAGGCGTTGAAAGTTACACATCGACAACCTGGTTATAGATAAAATTACACCATTTGAAATCAATATCCATCAAGATTAAACAATTGGGCAAATAACCTTTCCAATTGTATAGACTTTCTATAATCTACCATCGTCAATATCTTGGAGTAAAGCTACTTAACAATCAAATATATATACCGATAAGTAGAAATAGAAAGATTGGAATGAAGGCGGACAGATATACTGAATTAAACAAGCAAGAACTAGGTACATTATTCATTTACGAGTGGTCCATAGAAACCTGGCCTGACTGCGTCAGCAAAACTATATAACTTAAGAAGCACGTTAGTTCTAGTGGGTAGGTGTCTGACGAAATCTCGACACTTGTGGCGTAAGCGGGACTTCCTTACTCCAACTAAAAAGGAGTTGTACTGAGCAGTCCGCTCTGCAGTACTCTGTGGCTTGGAAACATGGTTTGTGAAAATAAAAGACATGAGTAGACTTTAAGTGTTCAGTAATAGATGTATTTGAAGCATTGCTTGCGTATGATAAAACAACCGAGTAATGTTGTGCTTATGCATAGGGTGCTAGGGAAATACGGAAATCCGGTTGATAAGGTAGAGTCTTTACCAACGGAAAATGTGTTATATTACACTAACCACTGACAACATAGACGGGAGGTGTTATCTGATGTACGAGTTGGAAGCTAGGGACGGCCGAACCAAAACCTGGGATCAGTCCATGAAGTTACTGTTGGTCTGAGCCATGTTCGTATCTACAGAATACCTAGTTGAAGTCCACACGATAATCAGGATTAGTAGCTGGAGAATTTGGGTAACAACTCAGGATCGGTTACAAAAACCCAGATGTTGTTCTGACTTGTTTACCACCTATCTTGTTAACTTCATCTCATTGTACTAATATGGTATGGGGACTTAGATTAACGAGTAACTGTGCTGAGATCGATGTTGATTATAACTGACTAGTGCCACAATTTTAGAATACCAGATAAGGTGGCATGGACATATCCTACCGGTAGCTTCTATACCTGGGATTGAGTACAAAATGATGAGAGACCGTCAAGGCCCAGTGGGATGAAAGGTAACCATATAGGACACTTTGATCCGTCACCACTTCTAGAGTAGGGTAGTGAATATTACACAACTCCGTGAATTGAAGTGCTATCAGACATAGTTTAAAATAAAAGCAATCCTGATCCTGTTGGGGTTACTCATCGGATAATCGAAAGATTTGAAACGCATATCTTAAAATAACGAAATATATTTTGGTTGTTTCGCTTGACTGTACTCTATTGATGGACATGACTCTTACTCTGTATTCTACTTCTTCGGTGTAGTCAATTCACACTACGTGGTGAACTGAGTTGGGGTTCTTTTGTATCGAAACCTTAGGGTTAAGAACAAAATTATAAAACGTACATGTAACTCATATTACAATGAAACTACAGTGAGACCACAAACTCACCACTGAATAATAAGTAAATATTAATTGTATATATTAACAGTTAACTTTCTAATTTCTTAAAGGCTATTTTAACTACTTATCAATTTGAGACCCCCGAGGCTAGTTACACTGCAATAACGTGAAGTAAAATGACTTCTAAATAGATTAAAATACTGAGTAATAAATAATGGTTGGTAAAAACGGTTAGTGTTTCATACTACTCAAAACCAGCCAGTTGAATACACTTGTATTCGAACAAAAAATTGGTATTCATGACGACATTTAAACTAAATTAAACAGGTACGCATCTTATACTAAGTATAATCTACTTCATTTTTAACATATGTGATACTACTTGATTTGTGTTAGTAGAATATACATTGAAGTAAAACATGTTCCATTAAAAATTGTTTTGGGGCACGGTGCTTGGCCTATTCTCAGCCAATTAGCGACAGGGTGTAAAATTATAAACATGATAACGTGTTTCTTACTGGAATTCACTCCAATTCAAGTTGATTTATTTGGAATATAATTACGTACTTGTCCAAACCGTGTTCTGATTTTGGAGACCAGTCAAGTGAGGCGAAGTGTCCACAGAATACTAAGCACTAAGAGTAGCTAACTTGTATACAGAGATCTTAACAATCCATCTACGTTATATAATATAAAGGTGTCTCTGTTCAAAAACGCCTATATCCTATGGAGATAAAAGGGGGACATTTTTAGGTGTATCAAAGTAACACAATAATCTAAAAGTGAGTTAATTCTATATGAATAAATATCCAGTTTATTATCATTGATACTACCACTATATGGTAGAAATGATGCAACGAAGCAACTGTAAAATAAAAAAAACATTGTACTAACCGTTGGAAATGATTTTCTAGTAAACGTTGAGACTTATTCACTAGTCCACAGACAAAACATGTATATGGTGATATATTTGAAGAGGAATCGAAGATATTTACAGTGAGTGGGATATAAAATCGGCTTATCAGTTTATTGCCCAATAACTCTGCTGCATTAAGCATGCATTCATTACAATCTACTTTTTCAAGCCGTGTTTTTTTAGGTATCACTAGTGAATTAACATTAACTAGTTTCTGGTGACCTCGTTCTAGATGTCGTAATAACTCTAAAGCAGATGTAGGAACATAGGGACAACGACAATGATGACAATAATTCCATATGTCTTCCCAACGTGGATGACGCGCTTTTGGTTTCCATTCTAAATGAGAAATGTTGATAGTTTCTATACTGATTTTATCTGTAGATAATCGAGTTGGTTCCTCATCAACACGTCTGCGTTTACGTCGATTACTCAATAACTGGTGGGGAGTTACTTCTTTACCAACCGCTGGCTCATACTGTGAGCGCACAAGTGCTGAACCTGAAAATGAGCAACAAATAATTAGGCAGGCAAAAAACATTAAAATTGGGAGTAGTTTCGGTCAATATTAAATATTGACTGCTTTAAGAATGAATATCGCAATACACTGATGCTCAGTGAGTAAATTTTATGACCGATTTCAAATGACTTTATACTGATTGACTTTGATCTTTCCTAAAACTACAAATCTATCCTTCTACCAAATATTTATAAGTCAAGAACAATATACGTTATTTCAAAGTTTTACCGTGCAATGAAGAGTACATTCTAATGCTAAGTTTAGAATTCGGATAAGTCACAATTTCAAATATGTCATGGTAACTATGCATAATTACAAACAAGACGGGTCTGGTTTCTAAATTACTTGGGCTAATATAATGACCGAAATTACACTATTATCGAATGATTCAAAAATACACAAAAATCAATCTTAATATGGTTCCTCAATACAGTAATTCCAAAAACCCGGTGACGGAATTATCCTTAAAGCTTTTTGGTTTAACCAAACATCAGGACTGAAAGAATGCAACTCGATAATTCTTTGCATATTTGTAGACCAGATGTGAGGTATGATGATACTATATGGTAATGACGGGGTGGTTTGATGATTAAATGCTTGAATTCGCCCACTAGTTTCAAAGTATGAACACAGCTCTCATTAATTGGGTTTAGGCAACCACGTAGTAATACCAGTTCTTATGCAAAATTGTGACTAAAAGCTAAATAAATGAACTTGATAAATAAGTTCAGCTAACTAACAACTTAGTTATTGAAAGCACAAATCCTGAAAATTTGAGTTGACTTTAAACTTATGACAAAGTATATAGTTTGAATTCCTACTTTTCTGGAATACATTCATAGATTTCAGACGCATAGTGAACGAACGAAAAGCATTATGAAAACAAAATATGTGTTTGAAAAAATAAAAATGAAGTGAGACTATTAATTGTTAGTATAATTACATCAAAATATTTTCTCAGTATCAACTACATTCTAACCACATAGAAACTTTCAGACTAACTTTTAATAGTCATTATAATTGGTAAGATTGTTTTATCCTAATCATAAAAATCACTAATAACGAAATACGCATTAAGAAACACAGTGATGCATACCATTTGGTTTTCGACATAGGTATCGTCTATGTGAAAAAGGGTGGGTAGTTTCAACTCACTCATAATTACTAGATACTTCGGTTTTATCTACTACATGACCAGTATCGACAAAATGGGATGGAACGACAAGTGCTCGTTAACTCGTTGGTTAAGTTATCTGGTTGCAAGCTTGGTATGCCATCCATTGGTTTAGTGTCTCATATATGAAGACAAATATCTCTACATATTAAAACCTGCTGAAGATTTATTCAGGAATAATATCGATCGTTAATTGTATTTAGGGAGAAGTGTTCAGAGAAAAGTCTGGTGATAATAGGCAACACCACGTTATTATAAAATAGAGGTCAATTATGAGAATATCTACAAAGTGAAAAGATCTAACCTAATCAAAAAAAGATACAAGTTCCTACAATTACCCGATAGCCATACACATACATATATAATGTATCATGCCTTATAAGTTTACTTGAATCTGGAGGTGATAATAAGCAGGGAATAAATTCGAATTCAAAGCTGATGATCAAGGGCCAACTACTACTGAGACTACTAATTTATGATTGTACAGCGCTTAATATAAATGAAGAGGGAATGGAACAAAAGCAAAAAACAAGTTAAATAAAAAAGTTAAAATGGTTGTCGTCAGAGTAGGTCTCGACATCTACCAGGTTTGAAGTAATCAAATTTTTAAAATAAGTAAAATCTAGTGGCTTTATTGTTACAGAATATTCAGAAAAATTAATCCACAACTACAAAACTAATGGACCTGAGGTTCAGTGGTCTAAGTACACTAATTCCACTTATTATATTACAATCTCAACCCCAATCCCAATTCGATTGGTGTATTTAGCCCTTTCAATAGACATGGCTGAATTTTTATTATCTGAATATGTATCTAAATATCAAGTTGTATTGATTAAATTCTGATATTAAATACATTCAAAATGTTACATGGTGCTACAAATCAACTCCATGGAACCTTCTCAAGATCCAACTTACCTATACGAAGTAGAAACTTAACCACTGGACGTAGACTCCCTTTCTTATTAACATTAAAGCCAGAACTAGATGGTCCAGATGGAAGCGTATCAGAGTTAATAGGAGTTCGAGGAATTGTATGAGACGGTAAAAGAACCCGTTGGTGCGTAACTCTCAAATAACTACGAGGTACGACGTTATTAGCATATATTGAACGATAGTTTCTAAGAGGGTTGAAATCCTGACTACTTGATTCAATATCACAATAGTGAACAACATCTTCACTAGACTCATTTTGTTTGACCACTTCGGGAGTGATAATCACTGTGTGATCCTGATTTGATTTTGGGGCAATTGGTCTAAATGAAGACAATGATGACGATGAAGACGACGGTGCGCTTGTTAATGGAGTCTTTGAAAAAAAAGATAGTACAAGATGTCACTTAAGACAGAAAACATGTTTTATGCTAGCACAAATTCATGAAAGTGATATTAAAACTCTAAATCCATTCTGATAGTTAGAATTTACTGTTTCGAACCACGTGATATTTACGGAAACATTAAAATATGGAAATCCAATTTAATGGTGGAGAAATGTACAGACAACGTCTGCAATACGTTCATTCTTCCTAGACTTATAAATCTAACTTTGGCATAATCAAATTCAAATTATATCAACAGTATAGGGATTGATTATATTGTTAGGATAACATCAAATTGATAACTATCCAGATGCTAAAACATTCGGAAGAATTATCAAGGATAGCGAACTAATTAAGTAACGCGAAAGTACTACTGATTAAAACGTCTTGTACTAATCTATCGCATTTGGTCAATATATGTCGGGCTTCACAATCAAAGTCAGTCAGTCAGTAACAACGTAGAACTTCGTACGTACGTACATCAGTTCGAGTTGACAAACCACATTAGCACAGAGATGCAGTTGTCGATTCAAATCCCGTAGTGGCAGAGGTAATAAGAGTATAAGCAGTAATCGGGAAGATTAGGGTTTGGAGATGTTATTTAAAGAGTATAATCCAGTGAAATAAATTTGGAAAGAGGAAAAAAGGGGCATGAAGAATTCAGAAGATTAGAATTTGGGAGAACACAGAGAGTGGATGCACCTGCGCCATTGCAAACGATTTTGAGCCATGTCATTCAGGGTCTCTAACCATCGGTTGCTATCATCTCGCGGTCCCCAACCAGGTAGTCTACACCTACCAACATGACTCAGTTCACTTGTCACTGACTTCATGGACTTGTGCCATGTTTTGGTTTGGCCGCCCCTAGCTTTCTTCCAACCTACTCCTATACCACTGAACATAGCACGTCGAGGCTCCCAATCAAAAAGGTAGACTGGCAACTAGCCACCAGAAATCATTAGCTTTTGTGATTTATAGAAAAGCCTAAAAAAGAACTAATTATTGGAAGCTTGAAATTCTCAACAACAGATGTTCCAAAGAATGTAGTGAACACAATGGACGTATGAATCTTAAATTAACACGGCTTGATTCTACCACAAACCAAATGAGACTAAGTCCAGTTATAAATAAATAACTTGAAAATCACTCACTTAAAAAATTATAACACATCGATGTAGATTGTATTAAACTAACGATAAAATCCATAAACCGATAATGTTTCTGAGTTACTTGATGTTGATAAGCCAAAAATCCACACACGAATAGCCAACCAATTCAATCTGATAAACTTAAAAAGTTAACGATAACTAATATCTAGGACATGAGGAGTTGGTATCACAAGCACTTTACAATAAGAGTACGATATTCAAGTATCTATCGGTATGCAAGCACAAGTATTGGTAGATTTTCATGACACATTGAAAAGGATGAGACGTGCACCCTAGATTTCAACTGACCACAAGTTTTAAAGAGTTACATTAAATGCAAGTTACTTAAATTTTAGTTAGCTTTAAAAAAACTATGAACATTTAAACCATATATAGTATAAAATAAAATTGTAAATTGAATTACCGAATCAACTCCTGAAGTAGACTTCTTGTGATTAACAACAGATAGAGTCGAATGTGTTTTCGGAAGTATGGGTCGTCTCGAATTGTTTGAGGTCATACTACAGTGAAATAATAAATAAATAAAGATAGAGGACCGTTACATGTGGGTTTCAGATTTAATGACTGTCTGGGATCACATATGTCAATTCATTGAGGGTAGATATGAAAGAGAGAATACATACCTAAGTGACCTTAATGCCCTATATAAAAACAAAACAACTTATTCCCTTAGAACAAGATAACAATACATAACAAAAATAAATTGAAGACCCTACTGAGACAGTTCGGACTTCTTTGTCACTAAAAAGGAGGCATTTTAAGATTTCCAACTTTTTTATAACTTTACTCCTAACATACGCTTTACATAAGTTCGAAAGTCAGTTATTACTTGTACGTGAACGAAAGATAGTAGATTTAAAGAAAAATGCAATGAATTTAACTTCAAATTACTTTACGCTCAGAAGATTCGGCTATTTACATAAGAGTTAAACAATTCGGACGCATATGGCTTATCGTGACATACTCATAATAGTTAAGAGAATATTACTGGAGATTTCTTAGACATAAATATAATAAATGCAATGACCAAAGTATAATTTAAAGCACTGGTGTGTAGTTTACGAAAATATTTTAAGAATGCTACCACTTAAACCGAATGTACGGACAAAAAGAAAACAAGCTGACGGGAACTTTACAGATGATTAAAAATTCTTTATGAATGTGATCAGAAATTAGATTTAGAGAAATGAGGCTTCGATGTTGCATGCATGACCGCGTACTACGTTAGAAATCACACCTCCGCAATTTTATGTTATTTTCCTTCCCTACAAACGTTAAAAAGCAATATTTGGACTACAAGAAATCGTATACTTTAACTGTAGTTATTAATCAGCTCGCAGAATCATTTAAATAAATGAACGCGTAAATAATGTTGTTTTGTGTTTAATCATCGACACCATGCAGTCAAAGTTATAATACACACTGTTTGAAACTGCTGTGACGAGATTTTGCTGAGTTCGTTTTGTTCTACACAACTTACTGCATGTATACATTTTTAAAGAGATACATTATGCTTAGGGTAAATACCTTACTACCTTAAAGTGCCAAGTTTGCTTTATGCCAATTAAACCTGAATTATTTATAATATTTGTGCATACATTTAATATTCCATAAAACGAAAAAGGACCTAGCCGAAACATCTAGACGCAAAAAAAGTAAACTGTGGAGAACTATGTTGAGAATCAAAAATATAATCGTGTATCTATAAACGAAGATTGTTCATTATCATTGCTAACTTTATTGAAAATTTAATATTGTTGTTAACTAAAGGAACAGAAGGTCCAAAAAACTTATTGCCACGGCTAATGCGTAAGTAGTCATTTATATGACCCTTAACAAATAAATATAAGCCCTACACATACTCAACGGTCATGAAAACCCGAAGCAAGAAGAGTATGTCAAAACAAAAGCAAGTCAACATTAGAAATTAGTGAGAGCCTCATAGTACGCGCCTGCAAAGGAGAAACTACCTTGACAAGAAAGCGACCACACCGCATAAAGTTCTATTTAGCGGGAATTTTATAGAACTACTCAAAACCCCTCAAAAAGCTCCATAACCTATGAGAATACGAAAATAATACTGACGAAAACAGACATTTATTAGATTGTTTAAATGAGGTCTTAAATTTTGTCACCAAAATTTCAACATGGATGCTTCCTGTGACCCCAAACTTCCGGTGCGATAATTAAAACGTATTTTAAAACTTTCATAACGAAAGATCAATTATTGAAAGCTGATGTTTCCCCCAGACTTTCACCGATGATTATAATATCCAAACCAGCATCCTGCGTATGCAATGACAGACTTTTTTATTCTATCCTTATGACTGGAGGTTTACCTTTTATTATGCCTCGGATATTCAGGATTTGGAGATTTTTTTGTCTGTGACACGCTTATAATCGAAAGATTACAGGCCCAGTCTTACCAAAAGTCAGAAAATGAGTGCGGAGATAGAACTGAGTGGCATGCGATTTGTCGATGAGTGTTTGGGTTGGGTTGAAGGTTCGTTGCATGGCTTACCCAGTTATGGTTTGGCGAGGATAGGTGACCGGGTGCCTTTACCTACGTATCCACATTAAGACTACAGAGTTAACTATCAACGTCACAGGTTTGTAGGATTTATTCGTTGAAAGGCAAGAACTTCTCTTTGTTTTAAATAAAACGCGGTGGTACTTGTTTTGTTGTTACTTGTCAATAATCCTGAAGGAGGTCGTAGCTTCACTGTTTATGCAAATGTATCCGTGTATATAATCACGTAGATCACCAATGTAGATGATCTATGTCAAATGACTGGAGGCATGCTCGAGTTTAACATGACTGGTGTGACGAACCAGATAACTTCGAAGTCATTGTATTTAACGTGGATTACACCTTCGACGTATCAAAGTACTGTGGCTTCTTTGAAGACCGTGTAACACAAGAGACGTTATTATAGAAATATATTAGAAAGGATGAGTACAGAGAAGATGGCGAGACCACCACCTCACGGGTCAGTCCATAGCATACGATTAACTGATATATATTGGTTGTCCTTTACCCTGACAGGGGTCGATGATCTTTTCGATACTTAGTAACTCAACTGCCGGATGATTTGGCCAAAGCTCAGTGACATTTCACTGAACCTAAACGGGTGGATTTAAACGCAACGTTTCCACGTAAACACAATGTATCGCCCAGTGTAATAACGGTCATGTCTACGTTCATGTGGTCATAGGATTTTTCATATTACGTTGTATTTTTTAAAAAAGAACTAGATTGTGCTGTAAATCTTGCTCTGGTTGTAATTTCTATTCGTCACGTTTGACTGCGTTACGCCGGATGTGCATTGCATGCTGGAATGATATCCCAAATCACTAAATGTTTAATCACATCGTTGATTTTTTTTCAAGTAGACCGTTAGTTAATAACGTTACTGAAGAAGGTTTTGTAGTGCTGTAAACAATGTTGATATGGGCAAGTCACTATTGTCTTCAGCCTCAAAACAATTTTTTGTCTTCTGTAAGGTACGTTTTAAAGGCCTATAGTTCATATTTTGGGTTTATAGGGTTAGTTATCTACATGTAACTACTTTGAGTAACATGTCTGTGCAAATGAAACAATAATTATGCCGTCTGCTTACTTTAGTACTCTTGGTTATCGTATAATTAAGTCTAGTCGATATAGTTATATCAGAATTGTGTACAGTGCTTGAAGCATGTAATGAGGCAGATCAGTTTAGTAAGTAGAGCTGCCTGCTTCTAATGAGCGTACTGATTCAAATCAGTCTGCTTGTAAATAGTAAAAGAAGTGCCTTTAATGCTATTGCTGTCATGTATTATAAGATAGCGATAAGTATGTTAGGTGTTTATTTGTAGACTATATGTCCAGCTCTGACTACATTTCAAGATCACTGTCATTAAACAATTTTCCCGGCGTTAATATCGGTAGCTGGATAGCTACTGCAAAATGGCAGTATACAGTTCTGGAAGAAGAGTGTTTTGAGTCTTAACTGAATGCAGCTGGCTATAGAAAAACATCAAAAATCATTATGACAACTGGGTCTCATGATACTTTCGAAAGCATTACTGGTATCCACAACCACTGGGCCTCCAGAGTCAGCTTGACTCGTTTATGGAGTAGTATTATCCATAATACTGAAGAAGATAACCAACTGGATAATGTTTCCTTTCCTTACGCCTGATAACATCATGGATGACAGTCAGGAAGGAACATGCAGATACTTGGAGTCCCATGCAGTAGCAACACTTATTTAACTCCGGCTTTTGATATCTAAAAAATAATACTCAAAACAAAACAGATTAACTTTTTGTAAGCAATGATGAATAGTGGCTAGTAGTGGAATCCAGAACGCGCGTTTCGTCCTATTTGGGACTCATCAGCTGGATGTACCTGCATCACAGAGTTGACGTTCACCCTGGGACTCGAACCGAATACCATTCGCTTCAAACGCCATCGCGTTATCAACTCGGCTGCTGAGTCCCGATAGCCACTTGTTTGTGCAATGGGGTGAATTTAAATTCATTTGGTATCGTTTGGCTTGTATCTTCCCACTGAGGTTTAATGCTGCAATTGAATGGTCTGTTATTGGCCTGTGTGCATACTGTTCGTATGCCTTGATATTGCCTTAATTCACAAGCTTTTTCTAAGCAATGATGGATAGTGGCTAGCACAATCAGATGGCTATCAGAACTCTGTAGCCGAGTGGATAACGCGATGGCGTTTGAAGCGAATGGTATTGGGTCCGAGTCCCAGAGTGAACGTCAACTCTGTGATGCAGGCACATCCAGCTGAGGAAACGCGCGTTCTGGATTCCAGTACTAGCCACTATTCATCATTGCTTACAAAAAGCGTGGGAATTAAGGCAATATCGAGGCATACGCACAGTATGCATATATGCCAATAACAGACTGATCAATTGCAGTCTTGAACTTCAATGGGAAGATGCAAGCCAAACAATACCAAGTGGAAACAGATTAACATTTTATAACATAAAACTAGCGAGCTTGCATGAAGAAATACATTGACTTGAGTAGCAGCAGTAAAAACCCAGAAAGCAAAGCTGAATCAAAGAAAATTTGCACTATCATTTGAAATATTGCATTATTTGAGGCACAAAAGAAACAGTGGGATAGAAACACAGAACGAAGAAAGCCGACCGCCATCGCTTACAAGGATAGGGGATATAGTAATTTCACCCTCGTTTGGATTGATGACAAACAGACTGCCACGACTTGGAAAACAGGTTGCGTTTAATTGCAACTTCCCCCCCCCAATCATTTATATCATTAAGTTCATACCCTACAGAGTATATTAAAAAGAAACTAAACAGGAAACGGACCAGGTAAGAGTGGAGGTTTCTGAATAAATCTACAAGCCTAGTGGAAATTGTAGCCAGCATAATTTACTCAAGTGGGACTGAAAAGATTCCATGAATAGCTCCAAATGAATAGCACATTAACTAACTTAGGGAGGTATGCTTGGTATTATTAATGCGAACGGCACGTACGATTTCCACCAACCACAAACCACAGGTTTCCTTTCTCTTGCTTATCTAACCAGTGATCTCTAGCCAACTTGATCATCCATTTTCCAACAAATATAAAACATTTCTGATTTGGATAATTTGGAGATTGATGCCCTGTAAAAATGACATGTAACTGGTTTCCCAGAAGTATATTGTTATTACTACCAAACGAATCATCAAACCATTTCTCAGAGTTGACCTATTTGAATAAACTGAACCTTTGAAAAAGGCTATATTCACCACGATTTATTATATTTTTTAAGATTGACTTTTATTACGTATATTACTGCTTATTCTTATTCACAAACACGCTTATTTCACGCTTCTTTCCGTCATTTTCTTTTCTTTCTTTCTTTTAAGTGACCTCAATATTCCTCTAAACTCTACAGAACTTGTTCAAATATGGCCAATATTATACAAACATAGTCGCAACATTTGTATAACTGAATTTCTGAGGAAACACCAAAGTCTTTCTTCATTACACCCATGAACCGATAAGCCATTTGTGAATAATAATAATAATGAAACCCAGACATCCATGATTATTGCTATGTTGTTAGGATATAAAGTTGGGGAAGATGAAATAAGTTCAGCACACCTAATGTTCACATGTAAAAGGAGTATACAATTTTAGTTCAGTAACATGATAAGTCGCCAAATCAATAAAGTCATCATGGGTCGCCTCCCACTAGGTCCGATGCTAGCTAAAATACATATGTTGGACTTGGAAAAGACAAAGTCAAAGGAGGCGATGAAAACTGCATTCTGTTATGCGTAGGGTTCTGATGTCTGTTACTTACGTTGACATATATAAGTGGTATGTTACACAGAAGTGGAATGCATGACAGAAGAAAACTGAATTGAAGAGGACAGGAATATAAATAGGGAGCAGTTGCAACAACAACATGATCACGAGGCATGTAAAGGAAAATCTATGGAGGATATGCAGAATTTTGTTCTACTTTGACATTAGTACTGCTCTAATAATAGAGCTAACCCTAAAATTGTAAGTTTGTCATGACTTAACCGCCTAATCTATAGGATCTTATGTGGAAGTCACACCATTTTCTACCCTCACTCATCATATTGTAATAATCAATATACGGTGAAGAACACATTTAGGCTGGAGATAGAACAATATATTTAATAAAGATAAAAATTATTTTGCATAAGTATGACAACACCTGCAAAGCCGAGTCGTGCCATCCGATGAATGTAGTCTCGAATGAATGTTACCGCGCACACCATCATTGATCTTCTCTTAGTGTTACACGTTGAAGGTCCATTTTTCCAGTTATCTCATATTAGGCTTCGAGGATTGTCGTTAGGATTTAATGAATGGTTTTCATATTTTAGGCAGGCACTGAGTAATTTTATGTTAAATAATAAATTCGTTTTACCCACTAAGCCTTCGTTCACTACGGGGCAACGTTAACTTTCGTGCTTGTAATAATCAGAAATATTCTACACATCTACTAAAACAGGTAGACAAAACACGTTAAGAAATAGAACTAACTAAAAAAAACATGTGGACTGACGAAAATCCGATTTCATAAGTGTTAGAATTTAATGAAATCCAAAGCGAAACACATGGAAATGTATTTGTTGGAAAAACGTATGGAGTGAGTTTTTACTAACTACAAGAGTTCCTGTCATATATGACATAAAAAGACAGTACAAAACTTTTTGACACTGACTATATACTTCCCACCAAGGTGAGGTCAGACGATGAACATAGTTATTAGAAAACGTCTATGTAAAATTACACCTCTGAAGAAACCCATTCAGAGATATTCTTAAACTGAAGGAACTGAAAAGAAAACCTTCCTTCATCTCCGGTTCAATGAAGGTGAAATTAGTTGGAGACATAGTCACGGAATAAATGTTGAAATAAAGATCGATCATTAAATTAAAGGGCTAGTTAATCTGTATGAAACAAACACTAACTAAAATAAACGAAATACGATCCCTCTTTCCCCATTGCCTTCAGCGTTAAGTGTCCGTTTGTATGTGAGCGCCAAAACACGAAATGGAGGAACAGAGAAGTGAACACATGTTCATATTTATCAGATCTCTCGAATATTTGATACTGAGAGGTTGAATAGCCATTGAACAATGAGATTGTTCCAATTTAATTAGTAGCAGACATGACACAGGTTTGTTATTCCTTTGAAATAATAAGCAGATAAAATAAATCAGTTTCTTTTCGTTTCGCCAAAATGACAGAAATTCATCTTCCTATGCAGTTTGTTGTTATTTCAGTCACTCAGAAATTACATTTTCATTCACTGGCCTACTTGTGAAAAAAAGGTTAGCTATACATAAAGTACCCTCTTTTTCATATTCCGCCACTTAGCTGTTTTGTGTTACTTATCGGCATACAATTGCCGCTCACATTGCCAATTTTTTTCATGAGAATTTCCAATGCATTTTACAACAAAATCATATATTTTATAAGTTGTTTGATTTGTATCTTGTTTATCACACGACTATTTGGTATCTAATTTAGCAATTTAGCTTTTGGTATGTGACGTAATGCGACCGAACAAATGACATGACAAAACGGTGGGTGATCTAACTTTATGATGTAATTTATATACCATATTAAAATGCCTGATCTAGTCAATGAGAAAACAAATCCACTACGTGATGCACTATTTGTAGGCGATACTTGTTATACTCACACTTGTGTAACTGATGTCAGGCTGACTATCTGTAACAAAAGTGGAAGATCTACACTTTTTGATCATTTTACCGATCACTTAGTGTCAGAGGTGCATATCAAAATGTCGAATTATTCATGGAAATCGATCTACATTTGTAGCCTGTGACCAACATATTGTGACGGATTAAAAAAAGAAACATTCGAAGTTAGAGTTCAGAAAGAAATCGTCGACGAGGATTATAACGTAACGTTCATCGTTCATCAGCCAAAAAATTGAAATGTTAGGTACTACATTTATATTGGACACTGAGAGGCAGATGAGCTGAAGTTGTAAATGAGATCTCCCTGATCGCATTGTAAACGGAGACTTAAACATTGCAGTGGGACTTCGCGAATAAGTAGCATAAAATAACCTCTAAATAATGTCTTCAGGCAACCTTCAGCAATTCCTTTTTGACATGCTTTTAGACAACAAGCTGCTAACACTTTATTGGTAGATATCACGAATCGACTAATTCTAGACCACCATTAAAGACCTGGAAGCAGTAGACGGTCGTTTCGCTCTAGTACGGGACTCTTCAGTTGTGAGCATCCACGATCCCGCTCGCAGGATTTGAACCCAGGTTTTAATGATGGTCTAACATCAATCGATTCATGGTCCCAATCAAAAACCTAACAATATCCACAGCCCCATATTTTATTGATAGTTCGTTGTCCGGGGTTTGTTTTAACTTTTCGTATAAGAAGTAACGTCCTGCCAGAACATCACCACCGCGCTTCTCGGGATAACACCCGAAAAGTTGCAGGTCGAAGAGCTTCCACCTTTTCTCATCAAGAGTTGCCTTCACTTAGAATGCTCCTTCAGCCGAAGTGACCACAGCCTCTTTAGAGAATAGTCCCAAAAGGAGAACTGAAAAACAAGTACTCACCTATGGATTACCCTCCCCCTCTTGGACTAATTTTCCCTGATGTATGTCTCGTAGCTCATCCGGCATTATTACTGTCATATATTGTTACCTTATTCTTATATCACCCGCCGTCATTTCCTTTTCCCCTTTCACTCTTACATTTCAGTCCTCTCACACTGTCTTCTTTATAAATAATTAAATTATTTACCTACTTTGTTCTCAAAACACTCATTTTCTCTTTGATTTTGCATTTCCTCTGAATTATTTCTCCTATTTCAGCCAACCAAAATTCCGCCTGACAGTATGTTAGCCGCTTGCATTGACAAACCTTGCTGACCTGAGACAAACGCATTGGCTTAGATTACATGATGGCAAACCGACTGATAACTACCAAACTGGATGGAAATAGTGAATTTGAGTGGTTAGACTAAAAAATACGGGATATTATTAAACGCCTGAAACCCTGATAAAAAATAAGAAGCAATCACAGATAAATTAATCGTATTTTACAAGCTCGTGATAAAGATACTGGATAGTGGATACATCGAATATATTGGAGCGTTTAGAACACATTTAGATTTTGGGGTTCAAGCGGCTAGTCCTTGTTCTTAGCATGAGGTAGATATAAAAGAACAATTTTAATGATGAAGGACTGAAGTGATAACAAGTCTCTCTGGCCTATCTTGTAAAAACAAACTGATACTCCCAAACCTATTTCTGTTGTCTTACCATAGGTTACGGGTGACCTAATACTCGCTTACTGTATACTGCAATAAGTCTTACCTCCTACTTCCGTTCATGACTGATCACTTTAAGGACGTTTCAAGAGATTTCAAAGACTGTGATCAAATTTTTTACGTCTGGAGTTCCGTTTCTCACACTGAGTAGCGAATTAGTGGAATTCTCTACCAGAACGCGTAGTATCATTACCTTATGCTGTAACATTCGAAGCCGAATCGTATCTTCATAGTACTTCAAATGGAAAGGAATTCTATGGGTCGATAGACCTCTTATCATCACTGCTCAGAACTGAAGGCTGTTTATCTATATCATATCAAGGTTATCGGAACAAGCGATGCTCCAAAAATAGGTACTTATCATGCTTAAATGGTCCAAGTAAGTTCCGAGTTTCGGGACATTATTCTTGTGTTAATCCGTGTCTAGTAGGTTTCCTAGTTTACACAATTCCCACAAGTGGTCAACATTGCAAGTGCGACTTCTTCGGTATTATATCCCCTACAATGAGTGATGAGTCTTATAGGTTTTTGTATAATATGGCCCATTTTGGTTTTTCTCTCATGTTACTAGTGTCAGTGGTTGGGTTATTCTGACGTCTTGGAACGAATTTATGGTGATTGATAAGCTGGAATACTAGCGATACAGGTCTTTCCTATAGTTTTCATAAATCCTGTCAACGGTTTTGTGTTTGTCAGGTTGTTGTAAAAATAACCAAACTTTCCTTTAGACATCGATTGTAAACCAAATATATGGTGCACTCTAAGTCAGTCCCTTGATCCATGTGTTTGCCAAGCTAATGCATTTTGTCTTCAAAACTATTTAAGATTTAGTCGATTTCCGTAGTTTTTGATTTTCAAAGTATTGGCATGCTGCTTGTCCTAAGAAAGTAGTTACCCATCTTTACGATCACAGACACTAATCTGTTGTTTTTAACATTATTATTCCTAACCTGAGGTTTGATTTTTCATCTTGGCTGGTTTCAACCCGTAACATGAGAAGTCCTCAATCATCACTTTCTACTCTTTCACAAACTCCAACCTCATATTGTTCAAACATAACAGAATAAAAGCCAACTGTTTCTTCACGAATTGTTTTGGCTAGCCCTATTGTATTCTTGTTTTAAGTCGAAGACTTGAAATAATTTGACCTGATATTTAAGTACAAGTCATGTACTCAGTTGGGAGCCGAAATTCTGTGTGATAGGTGATACTTCTATACTGCCCTATCTGTAGTAGATTTAGCAGGGTTTGAGTCTAGGGTATAGTGGCCAAAATTTGGGTGCTTTTATTAGTAGACAACCACTCAGCCCAGATAGTTGCTCAATTCTAGTTATTGACGTTTCAATCACCGTAATTGATCCATGTACATTTCATCAGTTGATTTATCCACTTTGACTGTTGCATGTATGAGAGACAAGTTAATAATTTTTATTGATGGCATAAAAGTGTCTACTTCGTTAATATATCAAGAATCCTGTCAAATTAAACAAAGCCATATTACTACGACAGAATATGAGACAAATTCGCACAGAAGGAGAGTAAATATACTTCTGAGGCATAGTTTAATTGAAAATACGACCAAAATTTATTTTGTTGTTATTAAGTCCACCTTACTAGTGTAAAAAGCAGCTACAGACCGATTTCCACCTACAAAATCGACAAATAACACGCGGTTCAAGCGCCGCCAAGATGACGTCTGTTAAAAATGACCAATCTAACAGACTGTTTCCAAATGAAAACGTTTGTTGGATCATAACCTCGGATACATCCAAACACGTTGGCAAATTTTATTTCTATGTACACTGAGTTACGATCGAATCCAAGTAATTCTTCAATGATGAGATGCAGAATTGTTGGGCTTTTTTTTAATCTACTTAGTGATAAACTCGGCTTTGATTTAGTTGCATATCAAATGACCTGTTCTTACCAATTTAGTCTGGATAGGCTTTAGAAATGGTAAACGTCGACCCCTACATACATGATAAGCTTTTTGATTCAACAATTTTAAAATGGTTTGAACTGTCACAGTATTAATATACCCAAATCAGGTATGGTATCAACTAGATAGTTACTGTTTTCTAACTTTTCTGTGAATTCTCATCATGCGAATCCTGGGATATTAAAAATTCCCTCCAGAATTAGGATCGTTCGGTGCAGATCCTCATAGAAAGTCAACCAGTCAGTCGCAGCGTAGAACCTGACACCTGTGTACATCCGTTCAAGTTGCCATTTCCATTAGTACATAGAGATGAAATTGTCAGGAAAAATCCCAGTATATTGGAATTAACAATAGTACTAGTGATAACAGAAAAGATTAGGCATCGGAGGTGCAACTCAAGAAAATAAAAATTTAGTGAAATATAATAATTATTGGGAATTTAGAAGCTTAGAACCTAAGGGGAAACGAAGAATGGATGAACCTACGCCATCTCAAACGGTTTGGACCCATATCATTCAAAATCTCTAACCACTGATTACGATGATCACACAGTTCTCAAGCAAGTAGTTCACGCCTGTTAACATAGCTTACTCTAATTGTCGGTGACTTCGTAGACTGGTCCCACGTTTTGATTTGGCAGCCCTAGCTTTCTCCCAACCCACTCCTACACCACACAACATCGCTCGTCAAGGTAGGCAGTGGTTTAGCATACGTAACATGTGTCTCAACCATCCCAGTTGATGAAAGTTTACTGCCTCATTAATCGGGTTTCCATAGTTTCTTAGTACACTGTCCCTAACCCAGTCACTGCTTACTTGGTGGTCCTAAAACATACGAGCAATGACCCAAGACACCTATGATCTAATACTGTTAATCTACAAATATCTTCTACTCTCAATAGTCATGTTTCACACTCATGAATTAAAATGTATGTGAGGACTTAGTTGCATTAACGTTTCACTTTTTAACTTTTGCCTAAAAATTATGTAGCACATCAACTAAATTTCTAACCTTCATTGTGTTTTCCTACTAAATGATTCAACCAATATTATTAGTTTTACAGAATTCAACCTGTTAGAGGAAATCCAAAATTTAAAACACAAGTAACTCTAGATTATATTTATATTCAGACCGTATTAACAAACATTTTGTTAATCAAGTTCATTTTCTATTGGTCTCTCTATGAACCTATTATCACTTAACATGTTATTAACTTTTAGGGATAAAAAAGATGACCAACCTACAGATTGGCCAAAATATGCTGAACATTTAGAACATTGTGTTGACGATGTACGACGTGTCGCAAGTGATGTACACAGAGGTCTAGTTCAAAATGTTCTCGTCAGTAAGAAAAATGTATGTTACCTTGTTTTATAAGACGTTTTATGTTTACCTCCAAACTGTTCACGATTTTAATAAAAATTCTGAAACGAGTTTATAAAAACAGTTACCGTGAAACATTTTTATTCTACAAACTACTTTCCAAATTTTCGTTTGTATTTCGACTGCTTTGTAAAGATTATCTTTTTTAGTCCATCTAGTTATCATCTCGCCATTTCTTAGTGATGCATAAGCTAGTCTGACTTACTAATTTTCCATCCGTTAATCTGCAAATTTTAAATCCGCTCTACTTATTTCAATTATGTCAGCTGGATGGTAAATATGACCTTTACACAAAGGTGTGGCTCAAAAGTGGAAAAACAGATAACTTTGAAGCAAACACAAGTGTACACTAGTTGGTATGATCCACATCTCCATGGCCAGAAAAAAAATAAGAGGGAATACAAATAATTGAAGGTATTGCAGTATTGGAAACTAAACAAGAAATGCAGTTCAAAAGTAACAAATAAATTCGAGGAACAAAAAGTATGGAATAATATTCAGCTCAAGATGTAGGAAAAGATAAAAATAAGTTTATCTGTTCAAAGGAACTTCAAACCACGCTGTATAACATTTAGCCATGGACTACGTCAAACTTGCAGGACCAAGAAGTGTTCATGTACGTGCTACACACCTCGGAACAGTGACTCCATAGACCTAGTTTCCTAATCTACTTTTGTTCAAACAGCATAACCCCTTAAGTTGGCGGCTGAGGATGCGTATCACATGCCTCAACCATATTAGTCGATACAAGTTCACAACCTAATTGACAAATGTATCATTTGTATTGTAGTATGCTATATACAACACCACTACTCATTTGGTGGTCTCACCATGCAGACGCGCGTATATTCATTGCCTGGGAAGTCCCACTGCCTTTTCGCGGCGGGGGAAATTGAGAGGACAAAAAGCGAATGTCCGGCACTTAGATCGCGTTAGTGAGTACGGAGGATCCATCTTGGGGAGTTGGAGATCCTTATTCCAACCCAGTGATGCACATAGGCTCCAGGATCCTGAGGGAACAAATGGCGTTTGAACCTATTGTTGGTCACCGGCTACCATGGAACCGCATCTCTTAACATCGTTCCACTACATTGTGGATTATACCCCTGAGTAAAAGGCTCGAGGAGTGGTCCTCTAATGTCAGTCAGTCAGTCAGCTACAACGTAGGACCAGGCACACATGTGCATCGGTCCAGGTTGCCATACAGCATCAGCACAACAAGATGAACACCGGATTCATAGCAGTGGTTAGGTCAAAGGTGGTAATATATAAGAGAAAGATTGCATATAGAGATATAGTACAAGAAGAAAGAATTGGTTCGTAGAAAGAAAGATATGAAGTGACTTTAATCTCTTAGTTTAAGGGAAGACAGGGAGTGTATACACCGACGCCATTGTGATTGATTCTGAGCCACGTCACCAAGAGTCTCCAACCATTGGTTACGAAAGTCACGCGGACCCCAACCAAGTAGTCTGCATCTACCAACATGGCTCAGACTAGAAGTTAGTGTCTTCAAGCTCTGATACCACGTTTTGGTTTGGCCGCCCCTAACTTTCTTCCAACCATCTCCAATACCGGATAGCATTGCACGTCGTGGTAGTCGGTGTTCAGGCATACGTAACACGTGGCCCAACCATCTCAGTCGATGAAGATTCATGATCTCATCAACTGATTTACCATCATTCCCTAATACCCTGCGTCTAACCTCACTATTACTTACCCGGTGATCCCAGCAGATGCCAGCAATATTTCTGAGGCATCTGTGGTCAAATACTAATAGTTTACGAGTGTCTTCTACTCTTAATGGCCATGTCTCGCTGCCGTAAAGTAAAACAGAACGGACTGCCGCGCAGTATACTCGTCCTTTTATTGATAGACGAATATCTCGCCTTCGCCATAGGTGACGCAAGTTGGCAAAAGCCAAGCGAGCTTTTCGAATCCGTGCTGAGATTTCGTCAGACACCAACCCATTAGGGCTGATCAGACTTCCAACTGTTTCGGTTTAGACACTTGGACAGTATGCCATTCCATAAAAAACTGGGTAATAACTACCTCGTGTGTCGCGCCAATGTTTGTATGTCTAAACAAATAAATAAATAAGGTTAATCATATGCTGGTAATAATTTTAAGATACGTATGAAGAAATATCAGCAACTTACTTATATCTTCGATCTTCGAAAGCTATTTTTTTTATTGCGTTGTCATAATCATTTTAACAATTCAGTGATATTGTTCAAAAAGTTTTGTTGTAATAATCAATATATCATCATAGATTCATGGTTGACAGTTACGTTATTTCATAATTTACATCACACAACGATCACAGTTGGACAACCATTAAGAATCAGGGACCAATGTACACCCGTTTTGTCGTAGGTGGGCTATCCTCATCAGTGAGGTCGTAGTTGCGCATCGTTATTGAGTGCCGCACTATGACGAAACAACTGTCCATTACCCCTTGGTTTTCACTGTCTGTCCTACTAAGTTCAGTCCGTGATATAAACCATTGGATCTAGCTTTTTACAAACTCCCCCGCGGTAATTGCATTGCTTCTTATAATTGGTTACATGCAAAACATCTAAATTATCGTGGTAGCATTAACAAAAACATGTGTTCAGATTCATATACGATGATAGTATACTTTGAAGGACCATATATATGTGTGCATAATAAACACCTTTTTCTGCTTTAATTGATCGTTTTCTTTGTAGAAAAAGTATCCTGAGTATGTACTGTCAACTATTTTAAAAGAATCCGTCGATAAACCCAATACAGATGACCGACTTTTTGTGTAAGTGCCAATCTTTGACTTCTTACTATACTACTCTATTTAAAAATTGATGTAACCTCCCATTTAAGCTATTTTATTATATGCTTATCTGTTTATGCTTTAGTTTGCTGCAAATTAAAATGATTACAAATAAGTAAAATGTGCTTGCAGAGGATGAAAAAAATCCATTTAGATATCCCTACTTTTCTATTTATAACCAATTTAAATAAGTTTTTTAAGCGTAAGATAGTGTTTTTGAGATAACATGCTGCACTTAATCTTTAGTAAAAGTAAACTGTAGTGTTAGCGGGACATAGACTAGACTAAAGCATGCTCAATGCATGATTGCTTTGGTGCACGCTGATTGGCTAATTCTTATCCAATCAGCGCTAGTCGATAGTTGGAGAATATTCTGGATTCTTCTTATGTAAAAACTATAAATATACCGACGTTTTCCCCTATTGTGCTTCCTACTGGCTTCTGACTTGCTATTTGGAATATAATCTTTTTCCTGTTCAACCGTGTTCTGATTTGGGGACTTGTCGAGTGAATCGGTGTCCGAGAATACTAAGCAATAGGAATAGCTGGGTCATAACCGTAAGAAGATTCAGAGTTATAACATGTGGGTAGCTAAAAAATCTAGAACACACGTTTCTTCATGTTTGAGACCCATCATCTGAATAGATTTGCATCTCAGTATTGATGTTTACACTAGGATTCGAACCTAGTACCCATCACTTCAATTAACAACACGTTGTCGGCTGAGCTACCGATTAAATATGAACAATGGGAGAACTCAAACCTTTACATATATGAGACATTAAAAAAAAGAATATATTTGTAAAATCTCAGCGAATGAATTTTAAGTAAATCCAACGTTTCGCCTGGCAATCTGGTCCAAGCTTTTTCAAGGAAAATATAATCAAACAACAAAATTATCGAATATAAATAGGTACATGGTTCTTCGGTTTATTGTACACTGAATAAGTCATCCAATCGACGTGAAGGATTTCTTTATAGATAGGTATTTGTATTAATGTGTAAGAGACATGTTTATATGAAAAATAATAAAGGTCAAACAAATAAAATAAAAGTTCATTTGAAAATAATCAAGGGGAGAGAAAAATAAGAAATTGTCATGTTATCCTAGGCCATAGAATGACTTAGGGATCACAAGGTAAATTCAAGGCTATGACAAATTGTTTTGTATGTGTTATGGAACCAAAACGTGTTAAGATAACAGAATGTGTTTATACGCAAGTGATATGAGAAAAAATTTCATTCAACTTAATATTGACTACGGTCTGTGTATATTAAGAAAACAAATCATTTTTATGTAAGAAATGAATCAAAATGCTACAGCCTGCATTAAATGAAGATAAGTAAACAAAATAAACGAGGAATGTATATGAAATCCAACAATGATGAGAATAAAATTAAATCCAAGGAACTCGATATAAACAAAATAGTGGTAAATCTTTCGGATAGACAGTTAAATCTACACGAACTTTCAATACTTAAAAAAGGTCTCAATTTCAATATGAACAGAACACGGATTTCGGCTTCTGAAATTATTCCGTTGATCGAGCCTGTCTTAAGCAATGTTCCGGATGATCAGGCAAATTCATTGCGGTTTAAAATCGCAGCTGCAATTTTGAATCATAAACCTGATACGCCTAATATCTCTAAAGAAGAAACGTATGCCCTAAAACAGTTACGTAAAGACAGAAAAATTGTTATTATGAAAGCAGACAAGGGAAACACCACTGTTGTTATGAATAATTCTGACTATGAAAGAAAAGTCAATGAACATCTCAATAATGGACCGTATGAAAAAATCATGAAGAGCAAATGTAGAGCTACTTTAAATAAGTTGAAAGCTGAAACGGCCAAATTGTTACAGAATTTAAAGCCCAAACTATGATCATCTTTATGGTTCTCTTTATATCGAAAAAGCAATAACCCGTGTAGATTTTATGGCCTACCAAAAATACACAAAACAGATGTACCACTAAGACCTGTGATTGATTACATTAATTCACCAACTTATAATCTTTCTAGATATTTGGCCAAAATTCTTAAACCATATGAAAACATAATAAAATATGGAATAAAAAATTCTAATGATTTCAAAAACATTGTCAGTAATATTCGGATAGAACATGATGAAATAATAAAAAGTTTTGATGTTTGCTCATTGTTCACTAATGTTACTATTAAAAAAGCTTTAGATATTGTATATAATCTGTTAGATTCTGACATTGAACTTAAACAGCGTTGCCGTCTAGACCCAACAGACATTATTAGAGCGTTGGAGCTTTGCTTACATTCAACGGTTTTCATTTTTCGAGGAGTTTTGTACAGACAAACAGAAGGTGTGGCTATGGGATCACCTGTCTCTCCAATTGTGGCTAATTTATTCATGCATTCATTGGAAACAATTGCTATCTCAATGTGTTCCATTCCACCAAAAATTTGGGTAAGATACGTAGATGATACCTTTGTCATCATAAAACGAGATGGCTTAGACGAACTATTCCAACGGTTCAACAGCGTAGATGACAAAATCAAGTTTACTAAAGAGTTGGAATCGACTGAACGCAGATTACCGTTTCTAGACTGCCTGGTTGAAAGGAAGGATAATGATTTTTTAAAAATTAATATATTCCGTAAGCCTACATATTCAGGGAAATTTTTAGATTTTAAGTCTGCGCACCCACACGCGACCAAAGTGACAGTGGCCAAAAATTTGATCACCAGAGTCAAAAAACTTGTCACTGAACCAGATGATATAAAAATGGAAATGAATTTAGTTGTATCCACTCTATTAATGAATAATTATCCGAAAGGTTTTATTAAAAGAATAATTAAGAATGAAGAACGGAATGATATTTTTAAAAAAAGAGTTAAGCAAGATTGGATGAATACAGTAGTGATCCCATATCGTAAAGGTATCTCAGAAGACATCAGAAGGATTTTAATTCGTCAAAATATAAGAGTATTTTTTCGAACAAACAATACTCTAAGATCAAAACTAGTAAGAATCAAAGATCCAATACACAAGGATGATCAACAAAATTGTGTTTATGAAATCAAATGTAATGATTGTAATGCAACGTATGTAGGTGAAACATCAAGACAACTGAATGTGAGGGTGAAAGAACACAAACTCTGCTTAAAGCATATTCCTAAATCCTCAATTGATGTAAAAAAGCTTGAGAACAGATCAGCGATAGCATTACATTCAATTGAATCGGGTCATACAGTTGATTTCAATGGCACGAGAATCATTCAAAAAGGATTTAATTCTTACAAAGAACGCCTAACAGCTGAAGCCTTACATATATGGGCTAATTTAAACAATATTAATAGGAGAGATGGAATACAACTAGCTGCACCATGTCAACTAATAATTAATAAGTAAACCTGATCTCCTTTTTGCCATTTGATATATTTATGCCATAGTAACTAATTGATAGATAATACGTTCAATGATTCAAATCCGTTATCTTATCTGAATATGTTAAACAATTGACTGGAACATTTTAAAATAACACACTTCAATTACATATACATTCCTCGTTTATTTTGTTTACTTATCTTCATTTAATGCAGGCTGTAGCATTTTGATTCATTTCTTACATAAAAATGATTTGTTTTCTTAATATACACAGACCGTAGTCAATATTAAGTTGAATGAAATTTTTTCTCATATCACTTGCGTATAAACACATTCTGTTATCTTAACACGTTTTGGTTCCATAACACATACAAAACAATTTGTCATAGCCTTGAATTTACCTTGTGATCCCTAAGTCATTCTATGGCCTAGGATAACATGACAATTTCTTATTTTTCTCTCCCCTTGATTATTTTCAAATGAACTTTTATTTTATTTGTTTGACCTTTATTATTTTTCATATAAACATGTCTCTTACACATTAATACAAATACCTATCTATAAAGAAATCCTTCACGTCGATTGGATGACTTATTCAGTGTACAATAAACCGAAGAACCATGTACCTATTTATATTCGATAATTTTGTTGTTTGATTATATTTTCCTTGAAAAAGCTTGGACCAGATTGCCAGGCGAAACGTTGGATTTACTTAAAATTCATTCGCTGAGATTTTACAAATATATTCTTCTTTTTAATGTCTCAAATTAACTCGGCGCCCAAATATTGTGAAACTATTCGTTCAAATTTAGACGAAAGTTCTTATTTACTTTACATATATGTGCTACACTTAATTTGTTTAAAAGTGTTTCATTTAATTTTAATGAAAACATTATATTGATCATATGACCAAGTTTTTGGAGTTAAAGTTCGCTAATCCAGTTTTTGAAACCCTAGCCCGCAGACTAATAAATTACAGATTCATTATGAAAGTGACTGCTTGAAGCAGATGAGTTGTTCATCAATGAAGATTCTAATATTATTGGTTATTATTCTTATTATGTCTAATACAAGTACATATTAAATATACATTGATCAAGAGTACATTCCAAAGATAAAGAAAAGTCACTGAAGATGACTGTTCATTTCATAATTAACATCACTGACTGATCTTAGTTAAACAACTACTGAAAATCATTAAGCCTTGGATTGTCGTTTCACATTAATATGGGATTTCTCGGGAGTGCATATCCATGAACCCACTACCTGTGATCAAACCTAAGACCCTCAGTGTTGCACGCAAAGGCTCAACCTCTACACCACTGAGCCGAATTCCAATAGTTTAAACGTTTAACATCAACCAATCTGTAATACCGCGCAACCATCTAGTGTACTTGGTGAACCACTGCCTCATATTCAACATAGTCGAACTCCAACAGTCACGACTTCCCAAAAGAACGCTGAAATTACTTCTCAAAATTAGTTACTCATGCATGATTGATTACTAAGAGGAGGGGTTACTTAGATTTTTTGAATATCATTAAAAAAACTATTATTAATTCCTAACACAGAGGACACTTTTTATTAACTATTAGTGAAATATATAGAAGCTTATTAGGAA